TAGTCCTACAGTTTTCATCCAATCCTCATGTTTTTGGTGTCAAAAAATTCAGCATAGCCTAAGACTCAATGATTATCCAGCACATTTTCAATTTTTTACTCAAAATGGCTGCCATATGCAAATTAATCCTTCTGGAAAAATCTAAATAATTCTTATTTAATTGAAAAATCTGTAACTCGAGAATCCTTTACCCAAAAAATTTGAAACTTGACAGGCTTATTCCTAATGAGACTCTGAGGTAGCCAATCCATTTTTGTGCACATTGGTCATTAGGGGGCGCTGTAAATGCTTAATGTGCCTTAATAGCTGTTTCTCAGCATCTGTACATCCAATCAAGTTGAAACTTTGCAAGTACCATCTACTAGTAAGACTATAAGTAAGTCGTTAAGGACACTTCGATATATTTAAATTTATGGCTGCCATCGGCCAATAAGCTTTCAGCAGCCATTTGACAGGCTTAGCATTGGCCAATCCTGATGATACTTGACAGCTATCTCTATCTCACCACCTTCTAACAAGTTTCAAAATATTTGGCCACTGGGGGGCGCTATCACAGAAAATCAAGTATATCTTGTACAGATTGTCATTTTTGGTCAAATAACTTAAATGCCCTCATGCAGTGCATTATTCCAAACCATTTTGTCATTAGAAGTCTATTAAAAAATTGCTTAGTTTTTTTTTCAATCGTTAACTGTTTGAAATTAACACTTTTCGAACTAGTCCGTGGAATTTGAAGCTAACTTCTCAAATCTGGTCTAGAAATACTCTGTACCCTGTCTAGGTAAATAATTATCCAGCACATTTCCCATTTTTTGCTCATTGTGGTCTCCCTCCATCACTAAATCATTGCGGCCATAGCATTGCTAGCTTAAATTGCTATAACTCATCAGTCATTGGTCCAATCTTCTCAAAATTCTAAATATGTTTATGAATTGAGACTCTCATGTGACTTGCAAAATTTGATCCTGATTGGCCAATAGGGGGCGCTTTAGCACTCAAAAACACCTAAAATCTTTAAAAATTTTGTTACAATACTACAAAGTCTACAGATAAATGACAGGTGTATTTTGATTCAGTTCACTGTTCTGAATAACTTTGTAATTACATGTTATGTCATAAATTGTACTCCTTCTCTGGTATTTTGAATTATTCATTTAAAGACTACAGCTTATTATACCAAGGTCAAAAGGTCAGTCTGAACAAAACTCGGTGAACATCTTTGACAAAGGTCCATGATCGATTTACATAACATTTGAAGACCTTTGGACCAATTTTCACCCACTTTCACTGAGGTCCTTTATGCTTAAAGGGCCCTTATGGGTCCATTGGGTCTGTTTGTGTCCTGCTTATCAAAGCCTTTAACATGGAGAAACAAAATACTTTGCAAACACAAGAAAGTCAGAAATGTTACCATTACTCATGTATTCTTTCAAACCTTTGTAGTTCAGTAAATTGAAATATAAACATATATTAGGTTTAAAGCCCCCTGCTCCTAGTTCATGACAAATGAAGGCCTGTTGATAAACTCTGATTTCTTTTCGGCCTCTCTGCCTCGAAGGCCCAACGTGCGTTAGGCCTTATTAGGCCTATTAGGCTCAAAGTGCATAAGAGCTTCTTGGGCTTATACGTGCTTGGACCCGCTCATTGCCGCTTGCAGCTATATTTTGATTCATTGAAATTTATGGCCGCCATCAGCCAATCAGCATTCAGCAGGCTTTTGACAGGCTTAACATTGACCAATCATGACGAAACTTGAATGGATTCTACATGAAGCCCCTTTCTAACAACCAGTGAAGTTTCAACAGATTTGGCCACTGGGGGGTGCTATTCATAAAAAATCATATATTATTACATGATATAAACATATTATTACTATTTTTGACACAAACTCTTTAAGAATCTTATGTAGTACAGTATGCCAAACAATTTTACCATTGCATGTTTATTATAAAAATGCATAGTTTTTTTGTAATCGTTAGCTGTTTGAAAACCATGCTTTTCGAACTAGTCTCTGAGTTTTGATCCAAACTTCTCGAATTTGGTCTAGAAATACTCTGTGGCCTGTCTAGGTAGATAATTATCAAAAAAATATTGACTTTTTCACTCAACCTGGTGTTGCTCCTTCAATACATCACTGCGGCCTTGGCATAGCCAGCTTGATTTGCTATAACTCATCAGTCTTTGGTTGTATCATCTCAAAACTTTGAGAACATATATATATATTGAGACTCAGACAGGGTTTGCAAAATTTGGTCCAGATATGACCTTTAGAGGGTGCCTTAGCTGTCAAAAACCTCAAAAATCATTAAAGATGCTATTACAGTGTTATTATAAAGTCTACAGATAAACACAGGGTGCCATTTGATTCAGTTCACTGACCCGAATAACTTTGTAATTACATGTTATGTCAAATATTTCACTCCTTGTGTAGTATTTTGAGTTATTCCTTCAAAAATTACAGCTTATTATACTAAGGTCAAAAGGTCAATCTGAACATAACTCAGTGAACAGCTTTGATCAAGTTCCCTGATCAATTATCATAACATGTGGAGACCTTTTGACCAATTCTAAACCACTTTCAGTGAGCTCCTCTGTGCCAAAAGGACCCCTTTTGAGTGCACTGGGTCTTATGGCCTGATTATCAAAGCTTAAACATGGAGAAACAAAACCCCTTGCAAACACAACTATGACAGATATTTTACCATTACTCATGTATTTTTGACATCTATGTTGATAATCCTTTGCATGTTCTACAAACCTTTGTAGATCAGTCCATAGAAATGTAAAGATATGTTGAAAATAAAATGGTTCATGACAAATGAAGGCCTGTTGATAAACTCAGACTTCTTTTCAGCCTCTCTGCCTTGAAGGCCCAAACTGCATGAGGCCTGATTAGGCCTATTTGGCTCAAAGTGCATGAGAGCTTCTTGTGCTTATGTGTGCTTGAACCCGCTCATTGCCGCTTGTGGCTATATTTTAATTTGTTTTTGTAAAAACATGTGCTCTTTCCCCTGGCTTTTTTCTTTCTTTCTTTTTTTGTTTAAACTTTGTTGTTTAAAATTGTTACCACATCTTTTGTTTATGCAGTTTGTTATCTGACTTAACTATATTTGCTCTGCTTTATACTGCTTTTGTACAAATGTAATTATCTAATAAATCATTTTTAAAAAAAAGTTGAGCCGAGCTGAACTTTATGCAGATTAATCCGGCCAACGCGATGCGTCTGTCCAATCAGAAGATAGCTGGTGTTTGCGCGATAAGTGTTCACAACAATGTATGAAACTTTTGTTCCGTATTCAAACGTACCGGTGGAGCATAGAGGAAAACCTCCAACAATTTTAAACCTAGATTTATATATTTGTAATATATAACATCCTAAGTTTGTTTTTTGATTATTAGAAAATCAGCACATTTATTAATTAAAATTTGACTTAGCAGGACGTGATTTAATTGGATGACGCAGGGAACGTCTTTGTTAACGCCCACATGCGGCCAACTGAAGGAGGAGAGTGCGTTCACGTCCGCCGACAAGCCGGAACAGTGTAAATGCAGCGTTAATACAGGGTGCCTACATGCTAGACAATGCAAGGACGGAGCGGTAGACGTATATGCATGCAGCTTTTGTGTCTCAATTCAGGGACTGCGTCCTTCGGAGGCTGCATCTGAAGGCCGATTGCGTCACAGCGGCGCGACTAGGCTGTCCCATTTCGAAGGCTCCTAAGGTTCATATGCGGCCGAGAAATATGTCCTTTTCCATGGCAACGAAGGATCCAACGGGTGCATCCTTCGCAAGCCAACATATCCCGAGGTTCATTGCCTGCCGGCGAGGATTCGAGAACATGGCAGCATCAACAAAGAAGCGAACGGCGGCTGAAGAGTACACTTTTAAATATAAGTTAAATATATACATACATACATACATACATACATCATCTAAACCGCTTATCCTTCTGGGTCGCGGTGGGGTGCTGGAGCCTATCCCAGCTGTCATTGGGCAGAAGGCAGGATACACCCTGGACAGGTCGCCAGTCCATCGCGTGGCAGATAAGTTAAGTATATATAAATGTAAGTATTGGGTTTAAACTGAGGCGAATGGCTAACGATACAAATGTAAAAAAAAAAAAAATCTCATCAGTACACGACGGTAAAGCATCTCCAGCTCTAATAATGAAAAAAATAAACAATTAAAATCAACGTTTCTGGCTCTGTCTTTAAAGAACTTTAAAATAACTTGACAAGAGCGGTGTTTCGTGGCGCAACGGTAAGGACGGGAACAGCGGGCTGTGACGCAAACAGAAAATCCGCCGTAGGGCAGACCGTCTTATTTCGGTTCAGCCTTCGCAGACCGCGTCCTCCGAAGGATCCAGCCCCTGAATTGGGACACACTGCTTGTCCGTATAGAAGGCGTGTACACGGTTAGTTGGGAAAATTGAACTTTTGACGGAGCGTTCCACCGCTGCGGTCTGCGGACCGTTTTTCTGTTATGGCCCCATTGACAACACTAAAATAACTAGTTTACCATCGTCCGTTTACCGCAAACATGTGAACAAAGCTTAAGCAACTTCATTCAAACATTCAGGGGGAGCTCAAAAGCTAGGAAATGTTGAAGGTCCAGCATAATGTTCTCCCTTTCACACAAAATATCAAAAAAGTTTAAATTCACAAGGTTCTTTTTCCAGTAAAATAGTTCAACACTGCATACATTTAAAGTGCTTTGTTATCTTCTGAACACTAGTAGCTTATACTGAGCATTAATGTACATGGATTGGTTGTGGATAACCTGTTTATGGCACCTATGGAACCAAGGAGTGGATGTGGAATGGGCTTAATATAGAAGATACGCTGCATTAAAAATACATACATCAACTTATTCTGCACTATGAACTACTTCATCATGTAATAAGTGACATCTTATTCACAAATAAGTCTAACAAACGTTAAGTAGAGACATAGGCACAGGTTTATTTAAATATGTGAAACTTTATAAAAAAAAAAAAAAAAACACATTACACCAGATACAATAAACCAAACAATCATTCTCTCACTGGAAGACATTCGGGAAAATTACGTTTCCTTATTCGTGTTAACATGTGAAATGCAATTAATTGGAAAAATAATGTAGATATAATCATGAAACACTGTATTTTGATTTGATTTTCTTTTCTATGTCCAATGACTTCTTATGTCTAAACTTCTCTCGCAACACAACATACAGTAAAATGAAAAAATAAAGTTTGAAAAATATTTTTTTCAATATCTTACAAACATTGATGGCAGTATTCTGAACACAAGTCTTTTGAAGGTGCATGAGCCATCAGCATCATTCACCTTGAAGTTTGGGTTTATTTTTCTTTATTTCTTTCTTTCTTTAGCAAGAGCAGCACCTGGGTGAATCACATTTGGGCTAAGGGAATCAGGAGAAACTTCGAAGCAGTAATTTAGCTAAAAGCTCGTCCACCATCCTGCACAAAGCCCAGTCTTCTAAAGCCTGGAAAAACAAACCCATATCTCACAAGCTTTCACTTTGTTTTTGCTCCACAGATTCACTCTGGCTTTACACAAATTGACATGTCCAGGCTCTGCTCACAAAGTGCATTCATAACAACTGTTGCTAGGTTGGACTTCATGGAACGCTGGTAAATGTAAATTTAGAGTGCATTATTAATTTCAAAAGTGTGATAGATCACACTGTAAAGAACAATCAGATGCAGTTTTAACTAACCAGCATGGTGGCAAAGTCATTGTCGTGTTCAGTCTGCCTAGTTTCACTTAACTACAACAATGTAGTGCGGCTCAGCAGTGTAGCACTTCCAACTTGAAAAACTCAATGTTACGTATGGAATCTAAAATCCAACCTAAATTTATTAGACTTTCAGATTTATCCAACCTTCTATAAAACCTGTCGAATCTCACAAGAAAGAATGTGGGCAGAGCTCTGACAGATCAACTGGGAGCCCTTTAAGCAGCCACATTTATATATTGTTCAGTACCTTTGGCTAAAGGGACAGTTGACAATAAATAAGTGCAAATACAAGGCAAGGAAGTCTAAATGAAAATCACAACAAAGTCCTAAGTTCTTGATATTGACAAAAGCTGTGCCTGTATGCACAAATGGCTCCCTGCTAGCGTAATGTGAGACTGAATCCATCAAGTGAAAGCCTGCAAGGTTTGTAATAAGGGGCTGCACAATATATTGTTAGTTAAAAATCACCACCATACTGGCCTTTATGATACTGATATAGTATCCAAAAGAGACCTGTGTGTTCTGTGAGCATCCTAACCAAATCCCAGAACATCCTGTGGATATTAATGAATCAAGATGCTCTTACAACCCAACAAGCACAAATAATTTTGGTCAGATTACTGTATTTCGTGTCACATCAAGGTGTCACCAATTGCTTGCGCGGTTTATTAAGGTTTTACTGACTGATTCCCTAACGTGTTTTAATATATTGCAATGCACACTGTAATCGCAGCCTATGTCTGTACCAGGCTAATTCTTATAGGCATAATATTTCAACGGGTACAATCCTACTCTGCTGCTCTGAGGCACTACCTGGACCTCCGGTCCTTCTTGGGCCGCTCTGTGCTTTTGTCCATAGTCTTTTCACTGTCACCCCTGCACTTGGGACAGTACCACTTGCCCTTGGGTTTGTAGGTGAGTCCAACGCAGGAGAAGTGGAACCACTCAATGGGGCACTGCTCATTGTCACAGCCGATCATTTCTCCGTAGGACACCTGCTCGCAGAGGCAGTAGGTGGGCTCATTGGGGTCGATGGTAAACTCCACTGGCGATGCCTCACGCTCCTGCTTTGCTTTGGACCGCTTCTTCTTCTTGGCTGATTTAGACTTCTTCTCACGAGGCTGCTGTGCTGGTTCATCACATAAGTCCTCTAACGCCCCATTGGCTCCGAGGCAAGAATCACGGCTCTCGCTGTTCCTATGTCGCCGTGGCCGACGGGATGACGACCGCTCAGGCACAACATTAGCAGAGCTAGTTCCTGTCTCGTGACGAACCTTTTCAGCTGATCGCTCGGTGTCTCCTGGCTCTAAGAAGCAGGGCGAGTGGGCTTCCATCTGTCGCGAGCGGTTCTCCACCAACTCCATCATCTGAGTGACCACATGGATCTTCTCATCACCCAGCTCCTGGCTGCTGATGAGCGCACGCTGGAGCTGCATCTGCAGACGCTTCCTCTGAGCTCCATCTGACTCCTTCTTATACTTCTCATAAACATCATCCACTTCCTGTAGGATTTCTGGGTGAGAAAAAAAGAGAAGCAAGGAAAGATTCAACTTTATTATGCCAATGTAGTCAAATTACTACCGTACCCTTGGTAACAATTCATTCAATGGTCCAAATAATGCTAATGTTTTCTTTATACATTCATTTATTCAAATAAGTTTATATTAAATTCACCTTCACTTCTCTCTAATTCTAAGAGTAGCACTGACTCCAGCCCAAGCATACCAGCTTTAATACTCAGTTTGTTAATAAAAGAGCATGAAGAAAAAAAAAGAATGAGAGAGCGCTCAACATTACCTAATGCAAATACGGCTGCAGCAAACAACTAATTTGACAATCCCATAATCTATCGATTATTGAAATGAATAATTGATTTTTTCAGATTTTGAACTACCTCTTGAAACTGCGAGTGTTTGCAAACATTCGCGGAGAACTCAAGGCAAACAGAAAACTGTTTGCTCTCTTATGTTCGCACAATTTGAACGCACTGGTAGCCTCGAGTAAGACAACAATGCAATATTTGTAATGTGAACAGGGTCATTAATAGTTACTCTTTTCTCTTTTCCAACTCCATTAACAATACCAGAGAACATGCATTTTGAAATAAAAGATGTTACAGCTCATAACATGAAATAGGATGGCTTTTAACATTAACAAACTAGCAAGCACAGCTATTTTACAGAGATGAATATTCTTCATCCAGTGAGCCGACGTGTTTCCTCTTCAGATGCTCCAACATGGCGGATGTCCTCCCATGCCAGCTAAGTTCGGCTTTACAAATAGTACGACTGACAACCTTTTTTCAGAGTCAAACATGAAGAGCTCCCACACTTTTGAGGATTTTGTTCTTGAGGCTGCCATCACGCCTTTGGTAACTCTCCAGTATGCGGTAATGTCAAAACATTCTCACTTAGCGCAAAAAAAACGTATGATGACGTAATTAATTATTAAATTAGTTGCCAACTAATTTGGTCATTGATTTTTTTTGTTGCACCCCTAAATGCAAAGTTCACATTTTGGCCACTGAAAAAGAACAGTTAAATTTTCACATATTCATGAATATCCATCATTAATATCGAAACCACTTTTTTTCACCCTGCTGCACGAGATCCAATGCCCTTCAGAAATTAAACTAACTGCATCAAATCAGACTTTGTTGGAGTTTGCAAACTGTAACCACCACAACTGATGTTTTGATGAAGTTAATGTTGTGATGAACTGATCAAGTTTTTCATATTTACTTTTTTTCAAAGCAACACCTGGCTGGTTTTTGGTACTGATGCAGGATTACTAACTTTAAATACGACACATTTGATTAAGCATTTCTATAATTCAGACCAAAAATTAGGAGTTAGCCCGTGAAAATGTTTATCTGACTACAGCTGAAAGAAGTCCCCAGTACACAAGAGTCACTGCAGCAAACCCATCACAGTAGTACTGACCAGTGTTATTACTGTGATATTTCCACGAATGCATGTATAGACACTGGAATCGGATATTGGCCCCATGTCGTGCTTATCTACTCGTGCTCATAAAAATTCACCAACATCAACATTCCAATACCAGCTGATACGGTATGACATAAGTCGAGTGTATGCTGCCACGCTAATCAATAAACGGAGTGAAGGAGAGTCTGCTCACATATAAAAGTGTTAACTGACTCCTTGACTGCCCAACACGAAGCCATTGGTCACTTTATACACTCCCCCTTGGTAAATTGCCACCTGACCTACTCTGTGTGATTTTAGTCCGATTTAAACACACAATCACAATGGCTTCCCCAAAATGGGTGCCATGTAGGTCAGCTAAATGGAGGTGAAAAAAGTAGAGACTTGCTACCAAAGTCTATATATCAACTTTACTCTGTTCCACTAAATAGAATTATAAGGCTTAATTGTTAATTTCATTTTTTTTTTGTAAAACAGGCTGTAGAGAGACAGTATTGTACTACCATGCATATCACTGCCTAGTTTTAGTTTTAGTGCAATGTTAGCAGCACTGCTCAGTCTCTCAGCATGCCTGCTCAGTACTTGGTACACAGCGCTATTTTGAATGAAACCAATTCAACTTAACTTTCTCTGTTTGTAAAAACAACATGATGATTAGTCTTATTTTGCTAATCTAGCCAAACTACTAAAATAAATACAATACTGAATTTTAGCAATACTGTCCCGCATTACTGTAGCACCAGGTCAGAGTAATGAAATGCGTTCACTTGTAGACAACCAGGGATTACAGAGCAATGCTATAAAATGCATTTTAAAATAACACTCAGAGTAAAACAGACCAGTGTAAATCAAACTTGTTTATTTGTATATTGTTTTATATTTTTGGCCCTCTTCCCACCACATACATTGCACTTTTGCTCCCCTCTCAGGAGACCGCTTGCCCACAGGAGGTGCCCTGCATGCCTCCACTACTCAAATAGTACAGGCTGTTAACCTAGGTGACCAGTAAAGCTTAAGTTCTACAGACCTAAAAAAAACAAAAACAAAAAAAATCAATATCGTCGTTGTGTGACACTAACACCGGTGCACACGACATAATCACCCAGCACCACATCACAGAACCTAAAAGTAACAGAGGCATTTTTAGATACTACAGATTGTAAGAACTGCGCAGTACAGTGTGCAATAACTATGACCAAGTCTCCGTCCGCAGACCCACAGGAAACTATTCTTGGTCACAATCGCCAGAATGTAACTGCCGCACAATTTAAGGTGGAACAGAAAATTCGAATAAAAAGCCAACTTCAGCTACGTCCCAAAGGAGGAGCTCTGCATGCCTCTACTACTCAAATAACACAGCCTGTTAGGTTACCAATAAAGTAAAGCACTTTTAGCTTTCAGTAATTTTCGGTTTTAAATCTGTCGAGGCTTGATAGGACTAACAAGAACTCAATAAAAGCCACAGAAGAGAAGAAGGTAGACTCAGAGCCAAAATGGCTGACTGTGAGAAGGCAGAATGAGGGCTGCAATACACTGATCAAGGGAGAAAACGGAAAATGCTGTAAAAGCTCAAACAGGTCGGCCGGAAACGGGAGAGGAACATGAAAATGAACTTAAAATTATAATGGGGTTGAATGGACTGAGAGAAAAAAGGTGCCAGAGCAAAGCAGGGTGTAGTAACTTGCGTTAAGCAAGTAAAGGGCAGCGTGGGTAGAATATATACAGATATTTCAGGCAGGCACACAAAATGATATCATACCTTGATATTTGGTGTCGATTTCTCTCAGCAACGATACGTTTCTTTGAATGTCCAGGGGAAGCGACTCCACACACTCCAAATAATCCTCCACGTAGCTGACGAGCTGTGCCTTTTCCACGTTTGCAAAATGCCCTAACATCGTGATTACAATGCATGCAAAACGCAGCTAGGCTATGATTAAGTGTAGAAAAAGTACGAAGTTGCTTTGATGCATATGGTCTGATTTTTAAAGCGAGTAAATTCAGCCTCCGGCTGCCATGAACTACCTTAAAACAAAATTGATCTAGATGCGCATGCGCATGACCAGCCATTCAAAGTAAAAGCAGTGAATGGCGCGCCAGCCTTGTTTTTACCCCACCCGTTTTCAGCATTGTCCCGCCTTCCGAGCGCTCTGATTGGATAGTGGCTCATATTCTGCGTTGAGATTGGCTAGGAGCAATCGAAGTCGTGCACTGCAATTGGCTAATATCTCGAATGCTATGCTGGGATTGGCTGCTCATAATAGTCAGGGCAATGCTCTGTCTATCGGGCTACCAGCGCCGGCTCACTTCCTTTACTCCAACTTCCTGAACTTAGTTTTCTGAAAATAGCTAAAGGGGAAAGGGGCTCCAATATACTGGACTGCGTTTTCGACAAAAGCCAATTTATTGAAACTACAGAAGCTTAGACCTGTTACTCAATATTAGTTAAGACAAACCTTCTGCAGAAACGAGAAGAGAAAGAGATAAAAAGTAGGCGAGTTATTACATCTGTTTCCTGCGAGATTTCACTCTATCCAGATTGTTAAAGAACACTTCTTAAAATGTGCACACCCTGAGACTGAGCCCCGTTCTGGTGGGGTGTTTCACTCCCTACCTGCATGTCTCTAGCTGTGACCAAGGCACCCGGCTGCGCTCTGCTCAGTCCGCTTTGTGTGGACGTCTCGGCAGTTTATCCGCACCGCCGGCTAGCCTTCTGCGTTTTGCGCAGAGCATTTCTGCTCAGTGTCCGGGGACTTTCCCCTAAGCTTTCATGGAGAATCGACGTTCTCAGTTAGTAGCTTAGACCACAAGTTTTCAGGCATGCGCAGTCCTGAAAGTGGCAGACTTAGAATATATATAGCAAAAGCTGAGCACATGTATGCATGATGGTTAGTGGTTTAGTAATGGTTTTAACGTTATATGATTTGTTTAAGAGACAACTTTAATGTCTCAGTATCACATTTTGCTATCAAGGATATTAGTTTTTGCGCCTTAGCTTTTGATTCATCTACACAAATATGTTATGCAAATACAAGAGAATTGCGTCACTGAAAGAGGCGGATTTACTGCTCGTAATAGGCTGCATATTAGCCATTAGTCTGACTCGTTCTTCTGAGCGGAGGAACCAAACCAGATGGTTATAGATGATGTGAGGATGGACTTGATGATCACTATGTAGAACTGGATCATCAGGATTCAATTGCTTCAGCAGTCTCAAGAAGAAATAAAGTTTCTGCTTTATTTTGTTTTGTTCCACCAAAGCGGTTAGATAGACCTTAAAAATTATCATTAGAATTTGGTTGTTTAAATGGTTTTAATTGTTGTGTCCCTTTTTTATGACTTGCATGGATTTTGTTTGTACTGAGATATGAGTTGGCCTATTCAAAATGAAATGCTGAAGTGACTGCAACAAGCTTAGCTTGGACAAGGCTGTCTTAAAGCACTGCATGATGAAGAACAAATGTCAAGAGTGAAGCGCAGTCCAAAATACTAGGGGTGCATTAATGCATTGTGGCTACTTTATTAAAATGACAAAAAAATTGTGTTGAAGTTATTCATATAATCACATTCAGCTCAACAGTAAATTATCAGGTTGGTTTGGAAAACCCAACTTTCTGTTCTTCGTAATCTTCTCATTAAATTGGCTTGAAAAAGCCAACTTACTGTTCTTCGTAATCTTCTTCTTATTATTATTAAGTTGGCTTGAAAAGCTAATTTACTGTTCTTTGTAATCTTCTCCTTGTTATTATTCTATGTTCAAAAAATAAAAATGTTTCTCATCCCACAGTTTTTGAGCTAGAACCATGAAACAGGATCATAGGACATATACCCAATTAGGTTACTTGGGCTTTTCTAAGGGATCTGACATACAGTCTTCATAAAACGATTGTTCAAAGACAATATTTTTTTCTCATAGGAAATGAATGGCAGAATGTTTGGGACATTATACAACAGTTAGTTCCAGCCAGGCAAGCTGGTTGGTTGAGAAGCATTGTAACTGTGCTGTTATTTCGCCGTAACATCACGGATTTTTTACAAACACTGTATCACTCAGCTGAAACGCTGTTGCTAAGCATCGACTTTGACAGCTGTAAGAGACGCTCAAGCTGTTTGGACGTTTTTACTTCTTACTTTGCACAGAAACAGAAAATGGATACTTTTAAGATTACATTTGACCTACACCCGATTTAGTCAGACTCTGAAGGTGAGACCACACTAAATTTCGAAACTTTCAGTTGGTCTGTGTAAGGAGCTGGAGAACGAACTGCTGGCTGTGCAGCGAGTGAGCGGAGCACATTACTCTGACGTAGCAACAAGCTGCTTGTTAAGGAACTATAATTTGGAGGAAGGAATTGCTAACAGTAAAACATATTAAATGCCACGTTCATGGCCCAATTTATTTATTCCTTACTTCATATATTTAACTGTTGTATAAAAGCAATAGAACACTTGAGGTTGTGTGTTATCGCTATAACACACAACCTTGAGTGTTCTATTGCTTAATTCAAGTCTAACTGCTGCAAGTGATGTCACAATGCACTTCTCTTACACAGACACTCATACACACAAAACTCACATGATTACAGCCTAATGCACAGCAATATCAGCACAAATAATGGATTTAAGGAGGCAGTGGATTTAAGGTGGAAGTACATTTAAAGTGGCAGTGAATTTAATGTGGTAGTTGATTTAAGGTGGCAGTGAATTTAAGGAGAACTAAATTTAAAGTGGCACTGGATTAAAGGTGGCAGTGAATTTAAGGTGTAAGTTAATTTAAGGTCGCAGTGCATTTATCATGGCAGTAGATTTAAAGTATCAGTAAATGCAAGGTGGCAGTGAATTTAAGGTGGCAGTGAATTTAAGGTGGCAGTGGAATGAAGGAAGCACTGGATTTGAGGGACCAGTGTTTTTAAGTTAGCAGTGCATATAAGGTAGCAACAAGTTTAAGGCACCAGGAGATTTAAGGTGGCAGTGTATTTAAGGTTTCAGTAAATTTAAGGTGGCAGTGGAATTAAGGTGGTGCTGGATTTAGGGGAGCAGTGGTTTTAAGCTGGCAGTGTATTTAGGGTTACCAACAAATGCAGTGGAATGAAGGATGCACTGGATTTAAGGGACCAGTGGACTTGAGGTAGAAATTAATTTATGGTAGCCTTGGATTTAAGATGGCAGTGGATTTAATGTGGCAGCAGACTTAGGTGTCAGTAAATTTAAGGTTGTTGTAAATTTAATGTAGCAGTGAATTTAACGTGGCAGTGTATTTAAGGTAGCAGGAGATTAAAGGTGGCAGTGGATTTAAGGTATCAGTAAATTTAAGGTGGCAGTGAATTTAAAGTGGCATTGGATTTAGGTGTCAGTAAGTTTATGGTGGCAGTGAATTCAAGGTAGCAGTGAATTTCAGGTGGCAGTGTATTTAAGGTAGCAGGAGATTAAAGGTGGTAGTGGATTTAAGGTATCAGTAAATTTAAGGTGGCAGTGAATTTTAAGGGGGCATTGGATTTAAGGAGACATTGTATTTACGGTAGCAGTGGTTTTGACGTAGCAATGTATTTAAGGTAGCAAGAAAATTGAACGTAGCAGGAGATTTAAGGAGGCAGTGGATTTAATGTATCAGTATATTTAAGGCAACAGTAGATTTAAGATATTAGTAAATTTAAGGTGGCAGTGCAATTATGGAGGCATTGAATTTAAGGGAGCAGTGGTTTTAAGGTAGCAGTGGATTTAAGGTAGCAACAAATTTAAGGAAGCAGAAGATTTAAGACGGCAATGGATTTGAGGTATCAGTAAATTTAAATTGGCAGTGGATTTAACGTGGCAGTAAATTTAAGGTAGTGGTATTAAGGAGGCATTGGATTTAAGGGAGCAGTGGATTTAAGGCAGCAATTAATTTAAGATCGACTTAGATTTAAGGTGGCAGTGGATTTAATGTGTCAGTATACAGGGTGATTCAAAAAGATTAATCTAATTTCAAAATGATTCATTTCACTTGTAAATCATTACATAACAATGCTGTAAATTGCAAATGGTTTAAGTGAGCATAAAGTTTATTATGTAATTTTACAAGTACTCAAAATGACCTCCTGGATTTAAGGTGGCAGTGAATTTAAGGAAGCAGTATATTTAAGATCCCAGTATATTTAACAGGATAGCAAACACCTAGCAACACTTTACAAAACATCTTGGATACCATAGCAACCACCACACAACATCTAACCATTTAGCAACCATCAACGGTCTTCCAATATTTTAACGTTTTAGTGTAATTAGTTGTCTTTTTAAAGCAAGCTTAACGTTTGTTCACAAACTTTCACTTTCTAGTTATTATTATTATTACGACTATGGTCACCGAGGCAAAGCTAAAGTTAGCTAATTCTTCGTCAGCTCGTGAAAATTGTGTAGCAGTTAGCAGGTATCTGTAGTGTTACACGCACCAGAATAGAGGCAATGGCAACAGAAAGGTGGAACGAAAAATTTAAATAAGAACCTGGAGAATAGCAAGTCAGCTTCAGCCTTGTTTATTAATGCATGTTGTCTTGATATCAGTATCAATGTGGCTCTGTAATGTGGACATTTTGCTATGACATATATTTATTACTAAAAATAGCAATAAAGTGATGTACCTCACAGTGTTGCACTCTGCGAAATTTAAGCCAGCATTAATGAGGCTGCATCCCGAAACATGCATCTATGCATTATATACTGTGACGTCTGGCAACAAAGGAGACCCGGGAAACCTTCTCGTACTAAGCCCCCCATCTTTGGAATAATCTTCCAGTCAGTGTTTCGGAACTCAGACAGAGCCTCAGTCTTTAAGTCTAGGCTGAAAACCTATTTGTTTAGTCAAGCCTTTGGTAATTATTTTTCCTGTTAGATAAAAGGTGCAGATCTGGGGATTCATGGACATGGTAAAGTTTGATTTGACCAACCACCACACACCTCTACATGACAGCAGACACACAAACCCCTCACTCAACCCCACAGTCCAGTACAGAATGACACAAATGTGTATGCACTAATAATGTCCATAACACCGACTATTTACAAATTAAAGTCTCTCTTACCATGCTCACCCAGGAGGCTTGCATGCCCATAGCCAAATAAACCAATAGCAGAACATTTCACAGCCCCCTGTTCAAAGGTCCAAACCATCTTGTGAACCTATAAAGAGTCTGGCCAAAGGCCAAGCAAAGTCCCTGCAGTGCGCAGGGGCACACTGTTCCACCCTCTTGCAGGGTCTCCTCAGCAGGGGTTGCACACACATACCATGGAGTGCGCGCTCTCGACCACATGCACCGCCAGTCCTCACTCAGGGCCGCATTCCCTTTCCCCGAAGAGCCGGAGCAGAGAGACTGAACGCTGCATCCTCCACCTCTGCACAGTGCCACTCCTTGCCGTGGCTGTGACAACTTGAAGGTCAGCCGGTGCGGCAAGCTGCATGTGCCGGGCCAGCTCCACTGGTAGCAACGTGCCTCGTGCTGCCTTCCTGAATGGCAGAAATGCCTGCCGAACCATCGCACTCAGCTCCGCCTTCAGCTAGAAGAACATCAAAGGCTTGCCATGGCTAACACTACCAGGCTGCCACACTGCTCTGCCACCATCCAGGTGTCCTCACCAGCCCTTGTCCACGGCTCTCTTGCTGCTGCCACACAGCTCCAGATGACGGCAGACACACAAACCCCACCGTTCAGCACAGAAAAACACATAATAGTGTGATCAGGATGCTGTTTTAAAGCCATTTTGTAAAATTACATATGCAACCAAATGGCTGCCCTCCAGGGACAATTTTAAGTTTACACAGGTTTTGAACATCAGCATATTCAGCATTTAGAACTCACCAAAACGGGCGCAAATCATTTTGAGATAAAATTACCAGGCTGACTGTCTCATTTTGTTTAACTGTAGTGGTCAGAGGGGTGGCCAAGCCTCTGCCCTTGGCTCCACCCCTGAAACCAGCCAGAAGACTGCTGTGCAGCAATGTCTGGCATGCTATATGATTGGCATGAGCAGCCCAAAACTGTGGATGAACTTTCATCGATGAATTAATCTACTTTAGTAGTAGCTAGTATAACTACAAAAAAGCTATGCTTTTGTCAGCCACATCACAGAGCAGCCCCTACAGTGGAGCACTGCACTTTCCTCTTTGTTCATTCTTTATACCATAAGTTAAGAACAAATAATCGTGAAACTTCAATTTGAAAATACATGTCTTCCCACATGCATTTCTGAACTGCATTTAAGTTTAAAAATTGAAAAGAAAGTATAAACAAATTTGCCTTGTCGTTAGATCTTTGTTAAATATACTCTAAACAGGAGAATGCAGGAAACAATCTCTGTTCGTTTAAAAATGCTTATCCAAATGTGCTTGCAGTATTAAACACCTGAATTAAAAAAGTAATAAATCATTCTTTAATTAAAAATTAATAATTAATTCTTTCAAAATATATTATTTATGATAGCATACATTACTCCAGAGTTCTACAATGGACCTTTTATCTTGAAGAGTAAGACCGGGCTTAGAGCAGGGATCAACAGTATTTCTGTTTCTGCGTTTGAATTACACTATTTCACCATTTCACCACTATCAGGCCTCATTTTACTGTTTAGATTTTTGTATATAAATACATTTAGCTGTATTTCTGCACATCTCACTAAGTCATATTCAGTAGACACATTTGTAGGAAGAAATAGCATAACAGATCAGAGCTAATCTCTCAGTTTGCCTCAGTAACACTAATGCAAACATGCACAGAGAAAAAAAATGAAATCTGATCATGAACAGCCACCACCCACGCTGCTGCCAGGCCTGCATTTTTGGGTTTAGAGGCCTTGTTTACGCCCCTTTGTTATGAAACTCTGAAGGGAGAGTGTGTAGTTCTATAACTACAGGCAGATAGTCAAACTGACCGTTAGAATCAAGTACTGGACCAGGTAGGACCACTAACCCATTCAGGTAAACTTGAAATTTGTATTTTTGAAAAGTACATGACCTTAACGCAGCTGTAAAATATGAGGGATAGAACGCCATATTCCATGTAGTCCTGTAAGATAATGTATTAACTGTTTCTGAGACACTGTTATTGCTTACAGCAAATGAGAAATGAGATGTTTAGTGCTTTCCAATACCCTCATTTGTTTTATTTGCAAGACCACAACATTTCGTTTTCACTTTCACTTTTTTTCTGTTTTTCTGCCTATGTTTACGGTTTGTTCCGTCTCGTCTCTGTTTACTGTTAAATAGACCTATAAATTTAAATTTAGAGCTAGAAATTTCTGGGTAATTTTGTTTTTGTTCTACTGTAATTTTAAATGATTTAGGTGATAATGTATCATTTTTTATGTTTATGTAAGCCATATTTGCCTGAAACTCAACTGCTCGTCTGCTATGGCAGTTGAGAAAGCACGTTGGCGATACAAGACCGCTTGGACCATAGATTTACATACTTAGATGCCGCGTTGCCTGCTGTTCTTTATGTGAGGCGATACGTCTGCACGTCCTCCATGTTGGAGCGGTCAAGATCCGCTTATGAACAAATTCACTTGTATTGAGAGATGATGAGTCTCAGGATTAAATCGGACACAGATTTCACCAGATTTGTTTTGTTATAATCCTCAGACATAATTTAATCTAGGTTGCATGGACTGTTCTCGGTAGCTTTTATTTCTTTAATAACTGATCGTGCTAATTAGCTGTCCGGACCAGCAGGAAAGTATTCAGTCTGCACCTGACGTGAGTTTAGCGCAAGCTCCAGTAAAAACACAACCAGCAAATCCATCAGTGTGTGAATCACTTCTCATCTTAATACACGGAAGGACGAAGCTGAAGTTGGCTTCCTATTCTGCAGGGGTTCAGTCCCGAAGTGGCATCTGGCAGCAGGAAGTGGCAACTCCGCCGTCCGGAAATGGCACGTACTGGCATGTGCCACTTAGCGAATGGCACCTGACACCGATAACTGGTAACGAGTGGCACATGCCGCTCGTGCCACTCGGTTAGTGGCACTCGCCAGTGGCACCTGCCACACAGAAACGGCTTGTGCCTCTCAAAACAGGCACATACCAACAGCTCCTGTGAGTAAAGCAAAGACTCTGGACAGCGGCTACTCTGCTCGGCTAACTAGCGGCACATCATAGCTCCACCATCGGCCATCAGAACCTGGGAAAAGTCATGGAGGAATGTTGACATAAAGACTCTGTGCAGATAATCTGTCATTTTGGGCTTTTGTTGTGGCACGGAGAGCTGAAGAAAGCAGCTTGTGTTACAGATGTACTCAAACTAATGACTGAATTCATTGTGGTGTTATTCATGCTAAATCTAAAGTATGTATAGACTATTTATCGGCGTATTTATTAAACAGGACAAGAGGAACGCAGGCTTGTGTTCTTGTTTTTATTTATTATTTTTTCAGGAGTGGCACTAGCCATTTACTGAGGGTAAAGGCACTGGCATGTGCCGCTCTGACGCGGCATCTAGGTGTGTATATCTATGGTTTGGACAGGCTTGGCTGTCGTTATTAGCGCCCCTTGTTGTAACGCCCAGAATGCAGGTCGCGCTTGCGTTGCGTTAAGAAATGTGTTGTGACATATTTTTTAACTCAACTACATGCGAAGCCCCCCGTCTCCGTAGCTTGAAACGTCTCCGTTCGCGTTCTTGCGTGAAGTATATTTCGGGAATTAGAGTGGATTGCGGTGATGAAAGTTTGGGAACAAAAGAAAAAAGTAAATGAAATGCTCAGGCGTTTTACTTTGGGGTGTTTTAACGTTTAACACTTTACTCAATTAATGGTATAACGTTACATAAATTGAACTGCTGTCCATTTCAAGTTGTGCTATAATCTCTGCAAACGTTAGCTTGTCATATAGGTAACAGCACGAAGGGCTTATTTCTTCACTTGGTTGAGTTTAATGCCATGCAGTTCATCCTTTTTTAGATAAACAAAATGTTGGTAATTTTCCACAGCATGAATAAGATGAAAATGTCTAAAAAATGCCGATTTATAATGTCTGTAATGCGATATACCCCCAAAAACTAAAAAGAGAGGACCCCACTTTGAATTTCAAAAGAAGAATACTTTATAAAGTTTAATAGGAATACATTTTTCAGGATTACAGAAAGGGAAACCTGATTAAAATAATGCAGAAAAATAATCTCAACAAGTTAATGTGCTCACACAAACTGATAGGATAGATTGGAGAGCAATATAAACAAGCCCTTATCTCAAGTCACCATGTCCTTTTCAAGGAACATACCATAAGCCTCACAGAGACAAATGCCAAAGAGCTATATTCCCAGGTGTAAGAAATATATTTTGAAGAAAAATATTCTACATTTATTCTATGGCTTTATAAATACTCTGACTGCTCAAACTTTGTTCGAACAATCAGCAGCCACGCACTCCTCTAAGCAGCTGCCTAGCACTCTTAAAAATAAAATAACTGATGCCCACAAAACAGTCTAAGTATACAATAGGATAATGATCCTAAACACACCTCAAAATCCATAACGGACCTCAAAAGGCGTAAGCTGAAGGTTTTGCCATGGCCCTCACAGTCTCGTGATCTAAATATCATCAAAAATCAATGGACAGACCTCAAAAGACAGCCCAGAAATCTTACAGAAGCCTTTTGTAAGAAGGGTGAAGAATGGGTGAAAATAGGTGAACAAGAATGGAAAGACCTTTAGCTGGCTACAAAAAGCATTTACAAGCTGTGATACTTGTCAAAGGGGATGTTACTAAGTGCTGACCATGCAGAGTACTCAAAATTTGTTTAAAACTGTACAAGATGGAAATAAATAGTGATCTTGCTTAAATTATTAAAGAAATGTGTCATCATTAACTTTATGCCTTTTAGAAATCAGGTCATCTTTTATTACTTAGCTATTGACAGGTTGTGTGTGTTCTGTTGTTTAGGTACAACAATGTACCTTATGTAGAGCAAGAGACACCACAGACAATGCACACACTTCATTCCAGAACTCTGTTTCTTTTATTATGCCTCACCCCATCAACAGTGAACAATACAAATGTTTCTACCTGTGTAAATGTTGCAGTGAGTCATGTTTCTCTGTGTAATTTGCTAGTCCCTCTTTACACTGTTCATCAATGGTCAGGACCCCCATGGGACCACAATAGAGCAGGTATTATTTGTGTGGTTGATCATTCTCAGCACTACAGTGACACTGACTGTGGTACGTCAGTGGGTCTTTTTCACTCTGTTAGACACACCTACCTTGGTGGTCCTTCTGGTAGATATACAGTTTGAGATGCTAGTGTTCAGTTTCTGGTCACAAGACACTGTTGACTGGATGTTTTTGGCTGGTAGGTCTGGGCCAATAGATGATGCCATCGACCATCATAATGTTGAGCCAGCATCAATGTATTTTCATGATTGTTCTAAACTTCATAAGGGGTCTGATAAAATTGCCAATGAGAGTAGATACAAGGTAGGTGTACCTTGTGGCCAATGTGTCTACAGTGTCATTTTTAAAAATAATCAAATTGTGGTGAAATTTGCTATTTTATTGCATTAAATTGTTTCCTACTTAAACTGAATGGTTGTAAGGTCAGATGTATATGGTGAGCATTCTTAGATTTCCCATTTTCTTCAGCTTTTCCCTTTTTTTCCAGAAATAACAAGAAATGAAGTCCATGCAGCTTGCACTCCATCTGGTGGTCGTGCTTGGTTGCCAGTTTTGTAGACCTATGTCAAATGAAGCATTCCCATCGGAGTATAAAACATTCAGTGGGTCACTGTATGCCTCCTGCCGGATGCGTCCAAACACTCAGCTGTCTCCTGGCTCACCTAAAGTGTATGGGCAAGTTCTTTTTAAACAAACCGGCCCAGAGGGAAAGCTAAGAGTGAGTTTCAGGTTGCATGGCCTTCCTGCATCGATTCATCACGCAAGAGCAATTCACATTCACCAGTATGGTGACCTGAGCGAAGGATGCACCTCCACTGGTGGCCATTACAACCCTTCAGGAGTCAACCACCCACACCACCCAGGAGATTTTGGGAATTTTGTTTCTCGGAATGGGAAAATTCGTCAATCAGTGGATTCCGAGGCCACACTGTTTGGGGGGCTATCAGTGCTAGGGCGGGCTGTCATTATTCATGAGAAGGAGGACGATATGGGCCTAGGAGGAGACACGGGAAGTCTGTTGCATGGCAATGCAGGCAGACGATTGGCATGCTGTGTGATTGGAATGAGCACTGCACAATTCTGGAACAAGTAACATCAGTGAATTAATCTTTGAATTTATATTCGTTAGTAGTAGTAGCCAGTACAACTTTAACCAGCTAATTTATGCTGTATGTATGCTACATCAAAGGACAGCTACTACACTGCAGCACTGCCCTGTACTTTTTGTCCATTGCTGATGCCATAAATTAGAAACAAATAGTTGTAAAAACATACATTTCTATTTGCATGCTTTCTGAGCTGTAGAAGCATTAATATACTGACTTCCAATTTAGCACTCTGTACGGAGCCCCTAAGGGGCTGTGGTTAAAAAAAAAAAAGTTAATGACATTGCATTCCCTCGCAAATGTTTTGCATTCCCTCGCAAATGTTTTGCGTTCCCTTGCAAATAAAATGCATTCCCTTGCAAATGTTTTGCGTTTGTTTTGCGTATGTGTACTCTGAACTGGAGAATACTGGAAACAGTCTTTGTTCTAAAAGTGCTTATCCAAATGTGCCTGCAGTATATAATAAAAATTTCAAATAATAATTCTTTAAAAAAACAGCCTTAAAAGATTTTATTCAGAATACCATCCTAAGACACTAAATTTCCACAGAGATCATCACTGTGTTAAGAATGAGGTCCCAGTGTTGAGAGTGTGTATATAACTTGCTGGAGCAGTATAGAGATTCTAGTTTAATAGTAAGTGAATGTGGCCTTTGGCTTGATGTTATAAAAAGATAACTTTTAAATAAACAAAGTAATCAAACCCAACTCAAGACCAGCAGGGAAACAGGTATGGCTTCAGTATGGAACTGAGTGCAGCAGCATTTGGTATAATTTCTTTCATTTTGCTGTTATTAATATATTGATACACAGGACACAGATATACAGGGCACAATCAGTACACGAGCAGCATGTAGGCTAATTCTAAGACAGCCATATGACTTATATGCTGAGGACAACAGTAAAAGTCAGTCTTATCATATACATATGTCACAGTGTAATTGTTGAGCAAATGGGGCTTTTAATTTGAAAAGCAAGACTGGGCGGTTTTTGGTATAACAGTAGGGATGAGTGGTATTTCTGATACAAATATTTGATGTTTGAAATAATGAAATATAATATATACATAGATACATATATACACATATTTTTCTGTGTCACCACTTTTAGGCCTTGTTGGTCTATTTGTAGTTTGCATCTAAATAGTGATATGTAATCTCTCTACATGGGCCATATTTTCTAGGCAGAAAAGGCACAACAGAGAAGAGATCATGTATAATAAACACATGAGGCTGTGTCCTTCGGAGGCTGCATTTGAAGGCCGATTACGTCACAGCGGCGCAACTAGGCTGTCCCATTTCATAGACTACCTTCATATGCGGCCGAGAAATGTGTCCTTCTTTTCCATGGCAATGAAGAATCCAACGGGTGCATCCTTCGCCAGCCAACATATCCCAGCGAGGAATTGAGAACATGGCGGCATCAACAGAAAAGTGAACACTTTTTAATATAAGTATTGAGTTTAAACTGAGGCGAATGGCTAACGATACAAATGTAAAAAAAAAAACAAACAATCTCATCAGTAGCCGGCGGTGAAGCATCTCCAGCTCTAATAAATGAAAAATAAACAAATAAAATCAAAATTTCTGGCTCCATCTGTAAAGACCTTTAAAAGAACTTGACGAGCGGCGTTTCGTGGCGCACCGGTAAGCGCGGGAACAGCGGTGCTGTGACGCTAACAGAAAACCCGCTGTAAGGCAGACCGTCTAATTTCGGTTCAGCCTTCGCGGGTCTTCGCAGTGTGTCCCAATTCAGGGGCTGGATCCTTCGAAGGACGCGGTCTACGAAGGCCTGTCTTTCGAAGGATCCAGCCCCTGAATTGGGACACACTGCGAATCGGTAGGATTATTGCCGATGTTTTGCGATCGTTCCCGAAGTTTGACGAGTTGTTGTATGGCGCCTCCCGTGGTCAACGTTTGGTTGTGCATTATTTTTCAGTTTGAAAAGAATGGAGGAAGTTGCTATCAAGCTCGGTGCTGATGGCATTCAGAAAAAAGTGCTCTCTCCAGGTAAAGGAGAGCTCCCATCGTTTCCCGATGGTACAAAGGTAAAGACAAATGAATTGCATTTCTATAGGAAAGCAAAAGGTTTATTTCGTAACGTGTCTGAAGACCGTCCATCTAGCGTAGCTTGGCGTTAGCTGACCACTACTAAGGCTGTTTGGCCTTCTTGGCTAGCTATCTTATTTCCACTTAAAGCTTCAGCATGAAACTATGCATAATGTTGGATCATTATGTGGTTTGAGTTATGTTAAATGTTATGTTAACTAACAGCTAACTAGCTAAGCTAACGCATGATGGTTGGAGAGGGTCCCCGTATGTAACGTATACGTTTGTTTTCATTCTTTAACTAACCTAGCTAGCTAGGTCAAATCATTCCATGCGAATATGAATCAACATGTATAACTGATGTGCATCACGAATAACAATTGGACAAAATAACGACTTTAAAAGCTAGCTATCTGCATAAGCTAAGATAAATTTCATGTAACTTTGCACTACCGCTTCTGTATTACGCCGTCAAGGCCAGTCAGTTTATGTTTTACACGAGAATGTTCGTTCTCTAATCGTGCTAACGTTAAATGAAACTGTATTCGTGCAACGACATCGGATGTTGATATCTGATACTTGCACACATCTGCCGATGCTAATACATAACCACTTACATCATGTAAAAATCTATTAATCAGGATTAGCATTATGGAGAAATATAACAGTTATTTCTGTTGGTAGACAAGTGTAGTAAATAAAATAACGATATTTTAGGACCGTAGCTCAGCATCGCCTAGACAGGCTGCTCTTCTGGAAAGCCACAAATGTATCATCAGAGATCGAGTAGAAATATCGACCAAATCTAAACTAATTTCCTATGCCGGTATATTTTTAACAATTGTCCGTCCCAGTTGACAGTTGAACAACTGATCCCAGTGAATTGTTCTTCTGTGATGAGACAATTTACTAGAACAAGTGACATATTTGTGTATACATTTACAAAAGCTGATTAAGAGTGAGATTATGGACTACAGTATAGGTTAGTGCAGTGGGCACCAACCGTTCTCATAGGGATCCATCTTCCTGTAGGTTTACCAGATAGATAGATAGCAGCCATGTAGTGTAAAAGGTCACTATCAGTTGGTACACATGTCAACAGTAACAGCTGATTGCCTTCAGGTCATATTTCATTATCGCACCAGCCTGTGTGATGGTAATGTGCTGGATGACTCCAGGATGATGGGAGGAAAGAGTAAACCCATGGAGCTTATCCTAGGGAAGAAGTTTAAGCTGCCGGTTTGGGAGCGGGTAGTCACCACAATGAGAGCTGGAGAAGTAGCTGACTTCACCTGTGACATAAAGGTCAGTTATGGGATTTGACAGGAGTTACACTGTTGCTAACTGAGCCAATGAACAAGCCTGGCTTAGTTTCCCCATAAACATCCGATTACTCATTATCATTATATGGTGAAACATGTCTAACTTTGAGTACAGAAGTATAATAATAAGCATGAAACTCTTAAGCTCTAGATGTATTGTTCACTTGTCTTGAAGCTATATTTATTATCCAGTAACTAATCTCTGATTAGTTTTTATTAAATTTGTGATTTGATTTTAATTCTTTTGGAAATTATTCAATACAAACCTGAAATTTAGATTTGACTATTTTGGTATGATTCAGGATAGTTTTTACACTGAATACAAAAATGTGACAAAGACATATTTACACGGTATTGGAATACAGACAGTAAAATAGTTCCCAAAATGTAACGTTTGAAAAAGGCCTGTGAATTGTATTTAGGCTAAATTGAATTCAAACTTTATTATATATTATAATTGGAATGGATCTTAACATTCCAATATATTCGCATCTATGCATTTAAACCCTTATTAAACTACAATGAATTGTTATTAGTCATTCAGTATATACAATGAATTATTTAATATCTACAATTAATTATTCAGTGTCTGCTATGAATTACTATTATTATGAGTAACTACAGTGAATTATATCTACTCTGAATTCTTGAGTAACTGCTATGAATTATTCAGTAACATCTATGAAACTAATATGTAAGTTATGTAGTCATGATTGTGAAGAAAGGAAATAATGGGGTTTAAAGGGTTGAAGTGTGACATGTTAGAGAGCTGCAGCCCAGACTGTTAAACTGCCAATGCTGTCAAATAAGTTTAGTGTTTTTCTAATCTGAATCTCCTGTCTTCAATGCTCCTAATACCCTAGCACACAGCTCTGTATCCGCTGGTTTCCCAGTCATTACGGAACATCAGTGTGGGGAAAGATCCTCTAGAGGGTCAGAGACATTGTTGTGGAATCGCTCAGGTACACTCTCATCACTCACTGGGCCATGCTGACTTGGACCACCTGCAGGCAAACCCCCAGCCTCTGGTCTTCACCATCGAGCTCCTAGAGGTCAGAGTCAGAGATCAAAGGCAGCATTACCTTTGAATATCTATTTATTGGTCTGTTACAGCTGTCAAAATGTTTCCTAAATTTGTGCACAGTATTTTTCTTACAAGGTGGGTAACATGGTGATTTTAATGTGTTACATGCATCAGTGGAAGCTCATGAAAAAGTTGTATTCATGCAAAATTAGTAGAGTTTTCTGAATATTAAAAAGCAAAATAGAATCACTGAGAACTGGTCATCTTGCGTCAATAGTAAGTATGGATTAGGGGTTTCACTGTGCAATTGAGGTCACCAAGAAGCGTGACACGAGAAGGCAATACATCTCAATTTCTCACATCTCTATGATAATGGCTATAAGAAAATACGTATTCAAAACACAATGGCAGATTGCATAGATTTTATGTGGCTCTGCTTCAAAACAATCAAAATCCAAGGTAAATTGCCAGTAACTAACAATCACAAGAGAGTTCTTAGATTAATATACTGTGCCAAGTCAAGGAAAAGTCTCATCAGTTCAGGTTCTGACAGCTTTTCTTTCCTGTGTGATTCCACCAGGTCTTGCCCTCAGGCTCTTTTGCATTAGAGACGTGGGCGATGACGGATGAGGAGAAACTGCAGGCCGTGCCACAAATCCATGAGGAGGGCAACATGCTCTTCAAGAAGGGAGAGACTGCTGCAGCTGCGGAAAAATACTACAATGCCATCGCCTGCCTGAAGAACCTGCAGATGAAGGTTGAAAAAATGCAAAAATGTCTGAGTTGACTTTAAGCATAACAAGTCACCACATGTCCCATTGAAAAGCCACAGTTATGACTGCACTTGTAACTGTCTAGCTCAGGTTACTTTGCTGATAATTTTGCAAAAAAGCAGGAGCAAAGTCTTAAAGAAGGACACAAGGCTGCTGTGTTTATTGGAGAAGCATGTGGAGTGGATCGGTGTTCTATTGCGTATGTGGATTAGTTCAGTAATGTTACCTGTTCAGACTAATGTCAGATATAGGTCACATTAAAAAATAATTGGAACATAATTTGAACAGCCAAACTCTCTGATACGGATACCAGCTGATAGTGTAGTGTGCTGATGCTGTGGCCATGCATGATACCGCTTTATTGATAATAATTAGTAAACAGAGCTGTCTGTAGAGCCTGCTTTTCGTGTAGCATGTCAGTCGGTACAGGAGAGCTACTGATGTTTCACACAGTAACGTCCAGAAAACTAATATGTAATGTGAGTATGTAAATCGTAGGCTTTGTTCGTACACAGTGGTCTATTTAAATGTACAGTGTCACCAAAGTGCAAGATTTCTAAAAATCACACAGTGTGTGTGCCTGGCTTTATAGGGCATTCAACTACAGCTCAGCCAGCAAGAGGTAAAACTCATAACGTTTTGGCTGATTTTTATTAGCATTTGTTAACACTTTAAACCAAAGTCACTGCCTTAGTAACGTTTGTTTGCTCTTTAACAAGGCTTCTTTCTGCAGAGGTTTTTTATCCTAAAACTTTAATTCCTAACTTAAAAAAGTTATCTATTTATATAACATGAACTCATGTAGTGCTACATTGATAGTAAGAGGCAATTGGCTACTTAGCACAATGAGTCTTTGCTCTTTAACAAAGCTTCTTACAGCAAAGGCTCTTTCTCTCAAAACCTAAATTCCTAAATGAAGAATATAGTTGCCAATTTAAATAACATGAATTCATTTAGTACTACATTGATAGTAAGAGGCTATTTAGCGCAATGAGTCATGCATACAGCACAAGTGTAAATAACCTCATGTCATTTATGTCAGTAAAACTGCAGCATAGATCAGCCAAAAATCTAAATAATACACTGGCAGAAGCCAATTGCTTGTTTGGAGCAAAAATTGACTGATTTCAGTTTTGGACAGTTCTGAGCGTGCACTTCTACAACAAACAAAAATCATTTTTGTAAAAGTCATTTAGGCCAATCTTTAGCCATGCCATCTGGCGGGGTTTAACCTATTGTATTTGCAATATGTAACAATATAATAAATAATTGATGTTCAGGTTAATCAGAATATTTAATTATTGCTCTGGTAACTCTCTTTAAATACACCCTTTCCCTTTGCTGCGATGATTTTTTATTTATTTATTTTTTTTTATAAAAAGTATTGCAGTATTAATGAGCAAAATGGCTGCCATGTGAAAAAGGTAAACTGCAGACCATCTGATCTCCTGTCATATTTTTTGATTATTGTTTTTCCCAACATTTTCTCCAGGAGCAGCCTGGTGATTTGGCATGGATTAAACTGGATCAGATGATAACTCCACTCTTGCTAAATTACTGCCAGTGTAAGCTTATGCTGGGCCAGTATTATGAGGTGCTAGATCACTGCTCCTCGCTCCTCAACAAGTATGAAGGTAAACACTGCCTCAACACAGCTGACGAACACTTTTCACAGACCGTGTGAATATACTTTCATATAGAGGAAAAACATGGCAAAAGAATGAGCAGATATTAAAGGACAATGATCGAAGCCAGGTTATTACTCAAGCAGATACAGTGGGGTCAGTAATATGACATTTAGTTATTGTTATAAATTACACCAAAATACTCTTGAGTATATGCTTATATCAGGTTGACCCTGTGGCACTGACGACAGCCTTGGAGAGGATGGAAAGGCGGAGTCCGAATAGGGGTGGAAATCACAGGGCATCTCACGATGCGATATTATCGCGATATATTGACCTCAAAAATGATGATTTCACGATACTGCAAATCTTTGATACTTGATATAGTTCAGGACAATCCTCACAATCACAATATCTGTGTAACTGAAGAAAATAAAATACAACAAAAATTTATACAACAGTTAGTTCCAGCCACGCAAGCTGATTGGTTGAGAAGCGTTTTTTTCACGAACACTGTATCACTCCGCTGAGATGCCATTGCTAAGCAATGACTTTGACAGCTGTAAGAGCCATTTGAATGTTTTTACTTCTTACTTTGTTCACAAACAGAAAATGGGTCATTTAAAGACTGCATTTGACCTACAGCCGATTTGGTCAGACTCTGAAGATGAGACTACAATTTCGAAACTGTCATTACCATTGAGCAAGCTTTTCAGTTGGCAGCTGTGGCAGAACACCTGAACAACCTGGAATTGAAACTGAAAGCCAGAAATGAACCGAATACCATTCACCAAACAGAATGGGCTGTAAGATGCTTTACAGACTGGCTGGAACAAAACAGCATTAATATTGACCTAGCAAAAAAAGACAACACTGAGCTAAACTTGATATTGCGGCAGTTTTATGGCTCAGTCCGTACTTCAAAAGACGAGGCTTACAGCATTCAGTGCAGCGAGTGAGCGGAGGTCGTTACTCTGACGTGGAAACAAGCTGCTTGTTACAGAACTAATTTATTTATTACTTTATTTATGTAACTATTATGTAAAGCAATAGAACACGAGAGGGAGTGTATTCACGATAACACACAACCTCAAGTGTTCTATTGCTTTCATTCAACAGTTACATAAATAAAGTAAGAAATAAATAAATTGGGCCGTGAATGTGGCATTTACTATGTTTAAATGTTAGCAATTCCTTCCACCAAATTATAGTTCCGTAACAAGCAGCTTGTTTCTACATCAGAGTAACAAACTTTGCTTAAATGTATACAAATTGCAAAATACACATTTCTTTTTCAAAAATAAACATATTTAAAAATACACATTTCAGTGCTTAACAGGCATACCCAACTCATTTTATGTAAACTGGGCACATTTCAGTGCTTATTCTGCTTAAAGCATAACCAGCCTGTTTTGTGCAAACTTGGGAACATTTCATTGTTTACCAGCTAGTTTTATGTAAACTGGGCATGTTTCAGTTCATCCTCAAATATGCATGTTCTTCTTCAGGAACAGCAACTGATTAGCATGTTCAGAAGTGAGCGTACTCCTCTGTGCAATAATAATGTTACCAGCAGTCGAAAAGATTATTTCTGCAGATACCCAGTCCCTGGGACACACAGGCTTTGTGCCAGCTTAACAAGGAGTGGGTACCCTTGTGCCTGAGATTTTCACCAATCCAATGGGTCATCTGTCAGTCATAGAGGTCGAACATGTTGATATTTTCTGACCCCATTTTCAGCTATGGACGTAGCTCACACTGTACGTGCTTTGGTGCTCTTTAATGACTGGCCAAGGAGATTACGAAGTGCAGATTTTCTTTTCTTTGTTGTGTGCAGTCTAAGGATAATTCCAGTGCTCACTGCTGTCAAGCTGTTCAGCAGCATATTGCTCAATGCTTATTCTCCATTATTCTCCATTCAATTATTCTCCTAGTTATTCTATTATTTCCAAGTCTGCATCCTTTTGTAAAAAAGTAATCAGTCGCACACCTTTTACATTATTATTTGAAAAATATGTTCTCAGCTAGTCAACCATTTTTATTCATTTAAAATTTCATGCATGACTTTTTGATTGATTTGATATATGTGAAAGATGGAATCTCTAACAGTAGTCCAGGGGTGCCCAATCCTGGTCATGGAGATCTACCACCCTGCACATCTTAGTTCCACTTCTAATTAAACACACTTGATCCAAATAATGAAGGCCTTCAGGAGCATCTGAATATGAACTCTCCAGGATGGTAAATCTCCAGGACCCAGATTGAGCACCCATGCAATAGTCTGATGGTTTAAAGGCCCATCAACACAAAACTAAGACTAGGAATTCAGATAACCCATTACAGTTTGTAAGATGTAATTACCTTCGGAACAGCAGCCTTTGACACCACTTTGGCATACGTCTCCTAGATATCTTGTGGTGACAGGAAAAGCAGAGATTTAAACCTAGGGTCTCAGGTTAATGAGATGTACAGGTTGTTTTTCCTTCTCTGTAGAGTCATGTCTCTTTGATAGGTCTTGATGGATGGTGCTTTTTATCTTTCTGACATGAGGGGAATCATCAGTGGTGCTGATTGTGTTACTCAAAAGTTGGGCATGAGGCGGAGCAAGGACAGAAATTATTTGGCCCTTCTCCTCAGACGTGATGTTTGTTGCCACCAGCATTGGCTTGAGGGCTTGCACAACCTCTCCGCCATTTGAGATGTCTGTCTCAGTCAGAGTGCAATCAGTGACACGCTTTCTCATCTTTAATGAAAGCACACTGCATAATGGAACTTTAATTGAAAACACGATTTTAATGCATTTTTTGTGAATAATATATCCTAAAGTATAAATTCATAAGTTTTAACGTTCTGTGTAGCTCTGTTATTGCATTAAAGCTTATGTGAGTTAAAGTTTAGCTATGATTAGGTTGTGAACTATATAAAATAAATTTATATTTAATTCACAGCCAAGTCGCTTAAACCGAACTATCTGTGGGTTCGTTCTGTAACATGGGATATTGGCACTGTACTGACCCTGTACAACAGTGCCAGTATCGCTCGTTATTAGTACTCCCTCTTGTGTACTATTGCTTAAAAGGGAACTCCACTGATTTTGCAAATTTACTTCAGTCATTCAGTGGTTTAGATGTAAACAAAATCATTTAGAGTGTGAAATGTGCCTTTCTAGAGAAATTTACGGAGTCAGAATTGTTCAGCATTATAGTACTAGGAACCAGAGGTCCGAAGCATTTAATGGCTCCGAAAGCTACATCCCGTTAAGTTATTACACAAAATGGTTATGAATGCATTGCTTGATACCTGAGCTATTGTAAAACATATTTTAGTATAAATTGTTACGTAAGGATTACTTTTATGTTTCCTCTCAAAACCGCATTCTCAACTGAGACCAATGCACACAAGCTTTTGTTGTTACTAGCCTATAGCTACAGCCGCTCAACACGACTGATGCCAGCAGCTTTTGGTTACAGTTTATTTTTACAGTTTTCTTACCTATTTGTAGAAGATGGCAGAGTAAGCGGGGGCCTTCGAGGAGGTCTGTTTTCAAAATGTCGTAGAGCCATATCCATTTGAACCAGAAAACACCAATGAGTTGTAGCGACTTGGAGGGAGGGAGGGAGAGAGAGAGGGAGGGAGGAGGGAGGGAGGGAGAGAGAGAGAGAGAGAGAGAGAGAGAGAGAGAGAGAGAGAGAGAGAGAGAGAGAGAGAGAGAGACACACACACACACACACACACACACACACACACACACACACACACACACACACACACACACACACACACACACACTGAACCCACCGGCGCCGAAGCAGAACAACCCAGGACGAATGGAAACTGGCGGTGTCAACAACAAACTACTTGCTACTCTGCTTACCAGTCTATAAGCTATCGGCTAACAGTGAAATATTCACGGTGGCTTTCTGTGGTGGAGAATACAACAGAATGAACAGCAGGTTTCTTTAGCAATTGGCATTTGAAGAAATCTGCTGAGCATTTTTTCACTGGTCTTGTATAAGTCTTTGTCTGTGAAGTGGTCGCTACTAGTTCAACTTTGGTATTTGTGTATAACTTGAAAACAATTAGCCACAACTTCAGGATCTCTAGTACTTGTAATTGCAACCACCACTCTGAACAATTAACCAGCAAGGTGTAACTGTGATCTATCACAGCTCCTCTGATACTCACATGAACCATGAGTTTTGTTGACACTGTGCGATGCATCGCCGCCTACACAAACACAATACACATGCAGGCTGGAGAGGTACATGCAAAGCGGTGTAAGGAACAAATAGTACCCTGAGAAAACAAATTTTGGGTTTAGCACTATTTTAGCATTATCAGTCTAACATATAAAAACTTAAGACACTTGTATTTTCATTGGTTGTTTTGAACAGCAAATGAATTGGTGATATTTGTAGTGTAGACATAAAGATGTCTGGTTCCTAGTATGGTAATACTAGGTAAACAATTTTGACTGTAATTTTTTCTAGAAAGGTGCATTTCATTACCAAAACCACTCTGAATGATTTTCTTTACATCTGAACCATTGAATGATTAAGTAATTTGCAAAATCAGTGGAGTTCCCCTTTAAATAAACAGCTTACCTCTGGAGATAAGAGGACAGCACAGATGGCAGGCAGCATCTCATAGGCGCTGTTCCATCAGACAGCACTGTGTCGTGGAAGGTCCAGCATCTTCTGGTTTCTCTTCGCTACATCTGTAGCGATGGTGCTTCTCTGAAAGAAGACAGAAATCCTCCGAAAATTTGCAAGAAGTCGAGCAAAGCTGGCAGTTTCAGGGCATGCTGTTACGCGAGGTTTAGTATATGTGCAAAACACCGAACATGTTGATATCCTGTCAGCTCAACAGCTACAGTCATATTTGATGCGTTGTCAGTAGCGACTACTGGGTCTTTTTCGGTAAGTTTTCATTCTTCTGTAGCCTTCTTTAACACTTCTGCCATATGAGCACTGGTGTGACTCTCATGCATCTGCCTAGTTTAAAGGATGCAAGAGTGCATTTCCTACTTGCTGTGAATAAAATGAGCAGTGATGGTCACAAAGGACTCGGTGGCTCTTGAAGTCCATGCATCGTACGTGAGGGCAACTCTTTTAGCAGGCTGAAGTGCATCATCCACCTTTGCTCTCGTCTCTGCATACTACGCTGGAATACAATTATCAGTGAAATATTTTCGGCTTCGTATGTCATATCTTGGTTCCAGTGTTTGAAGCATTTTGCGAAAACCCTAATTTTCAACTACACTGTATGGGCGAAGGTCCCAAAAAGGAAGTTTTGCTTAAAATTGGGTATTAATTGTAGGCTGACTGAGTTGTGGTGACGTTAGCTGATTCTCAAAAACCAGATCAGGATGATGAAGAAGGTGGCTATGCATGTTCGTTGTGTTGCTGGTGTACTTTATATTAACAATACAGTTCTTGGAAATCGCATAGTCTTTGTCTATTTCATTTGTTCCTTCAATGCTGTAAAAACCCAAGTAGGCGCAGTCGTTCAACTTCAACTTATTTGTCCCCCCCATTGGGTGGCAGTCCATTATGACATCATCTTATTTAATGAATGTGTATTAATTTTCTTCTGTTTTTTCCTTAGTTATTCTTAGTAATAGTTAATTTTTGTGAATAAAGAAAATAATTCTATTAAAAACTAGGTTGGTACATTTTGTTTGTTACAGCTTGTTCACAAGCACCATAAAAATAATAAATGTTTTACGTATATGTTGCATGTAGTGAAAATGCTTTATTTCTTGATGTTATGTTTGTGCCATATCATCCATCTTTAGAAACAGCTGTAAAGAGGTATTGTCAAGTTATTTTCTTGGATCTTTATAGCTTCCCCACTTGAAAGGGATTGATCTATCTACATGGAGTTCTTTGACCAGATTTCACTCCATGACTAAGTGGGTTTTTCCTTTCTTTGGCAGGTTCAGTAGCTTGACACAGTGGCCTCACCGTTTCATTGACCAATAATTCTTAGCTATGAGCCTTCTCAGCCAAGGATGTTTTGGTTATAAGGTGAAAAACCTTACACAAAACAGCATTTGTAATTATTTCAAGAAAGTATTAAGCTTCACTGCCTTATTTCACTTAATACACATGCTCTTATATATCTCCTCCTCATAACCATAAGCAAAATTAGTGCTTAGTTTTGTTGTGCCCTTTATCATATCAAGTAACATATGTAACCTACTGTATTTCAACACAGGATGCTTTGTGAACACAATGATTTAACGTGATATCAAACTACGCATACTCTTCAACAGTCCATCTTATTCGCACGAAGCTAAAAGTTAAACAAGCCACCGGCAAACAGGCCAGTGTAACTACAAACTAGCTTAGCAGCAGCCCTAAATTTCATCTGAGAAATTCCACGGTCGGTCTCTACGGTTGTGTGCCACATCTTACCGGCTGCCTCTCCAGACTTTGCAGACATCAGTCCTGTACAGCGCTACCGCAAACCATGACGCTGGTTGAAGTAATTCTGGCAGTATTTTCTGCTAGTGCAGCGATTGTGGATAGCCTCGTCCATTTCTTCGATGCTGTGCGCTGCTTTTTCTGTTTATTTATTTTTTTAATTTATTTTTTTCCCGAAGCTGCGCGCTGTTTGTTTTCTTTCTCAGAGCTGCGCCTCGCTTTTTTCATTTCATTGCTCCCTACATATTTCGCTCGTCAGTGGACTCATGACGTTACTTTACTCTTTCATTTATGCATTGTTTACTTCTGTCCAAGCTTCAACCCCTAGAAAATAGGTATTGTTTAATTCAGACATTAAAAGATTTTGATCATTAGGACTTGACTTTGACCAAATCAGGATTTTCATCTTAGTGTGGAAAAAGCCTGCAAAGGTAACTCACAGCAATTCAAGTAGGCCATGCACAGTTTACATGTGGAATGCATTTTTGCTACTATGTAAATGTTTTGTTCTCTCTGTCTGTGCTAGTATTGCCTCTTCAGTGTATTCATTTTAGGGTGCCATTTGTCTCCTTTTGTCATTACTTGAGCTCAGCCTTCATTGACTGGCTGAGTTTAAGATGTCACTGAGTTCACAGTCCTGTTTCCTTCCTGTAGATAATGTGAAGGCGTACTTTAAGCGTGGGAAGGCCCATGCGGCGGTGTGGAATGAGGCTGAGGCCAGGGCAGATTTTGCTAAGGTGTTAGCGCTGGACCCCTCTCTGGGGCCCGCGGTGGCCAAGGAGATCCGAGCAATGGAGGAAAAGATCCGGGAGAAGGAGAAAGAGGAGAAGGGACGCTACAAAAACCTCTTCAACTACAGCAGCACTTCAACAACAGCAACTACGGTCAGTCCCTGTCATCATCAAGCATTAACTTGAAGTGCACATACATTGCCTGTCAAAAGCTTAAAATTTCCTAAGAAATATTCAATTTTCACACAGGGAAACACTTTGGCCTTTCTAAGGGAAATGATTTCTGGGAACTGGAACTAGATTTCTAGGACTATTAAATGTGTTTTTAGTTTGTTTTTGTTTCATAGGATCATCTTGTTTGTTGTATTTGAACTTGCGTATCAATACTCATATTTTATAACGAAAGGGTTAATATCTTGAATTGGCTAGAAGAAAATGATCCAATAAGGATTTTTGTCTGAGTGGTGTCTAGGTAGACAAACAACAACCAAACAAACTCTCCCATTGATTAGGACTTTAGAAGCTGAACCGGAGGCCTTATATGTCAGATTAAGCACAAACATAACTGGAAAGTGAGGAAAGGAATGTCATGGCAGGCCTTCTGGAAGTCTGTTTGATGGTACTGAATAGGAGTAGTAGTCTAACCAGATTTTACTTAATTGTTAAAAAATGGGGGGCAACCTCTACACTGGGGCTCTTTACTGAAGGAGTCACTGTAATATATTAATGTCTGTTACAATCTCCACTTAAACATTGTTTTTAAAGTATTCAAATATATAAATTAGTGCTGCCAAAAAAGTTGCACCATCACTAGCTTTGTGTTAACATAACATTAGAAATCCCATACAGATGTGAGTGGAAATTAGAATTATCATAGCGGTGGTAATTGTTTCTGCATTAAACATTATGTGAATGCCATTTAATTCATTTTGAAGCAACTGTGATGGGAGAGACAGATGTCTATTCAGCTTTCCATGTCTTTGCAGTTTTTCTCAGGCTTAGTTGCAGAATGCACCTCAACATCGGACAACTGCACAGTATTTTTACACAGTATTTTTCCTGTGATAGTATTCCTACATAATTGCAATATAAATTTGACAGTGTTCTTTTCTAAACTATTGTTAAAAGCACATATTACAACCCTTTTGGCACGAAAATGGTTTAAACACCTAAAAGGTTTGTGTGCTGACATCACAAAAAGGGTATTAAATAGACAGGGTTTTCAGCTTTATTTCCAAAGTAGCCACTGTCATTAATATTGATTTAAATATTTACACTTGATATTGTTTTCCTCTAAGTAAACCTGCAGAGATTTTAATATGGTAAGTAACTGCAAACTGAAAGGGTAGACATGTTCATTTGAATTTATTGCAAGTTTGAAAAGCTAAGGTTCCCCAAACATTTATAGACAGTGTGTCATCAGTACGTTGGTATAGTGTAGTGCGTAACACTACACTTCTGTCTTCTACACTATAGACTGGGGTTCAATCCCCCGCCTGAGTAAGACCCTACACTATATTAATAAGAGTCCTTGGGCAAGACTTCTAAGGATACCTTTGCCTACCTGTGTAAAATGAAATCAAACTGTAAGTCGCTCTGGATAAGAGTGTCTGCTAAATGCCGTAAATGTAAAAAATCAGTATGTTTTGATGTCTTAAGCACTTTAGGTGTTAAAAAGTGCATGCTTAAAATGAAATTTATTACTATTATTATTATTGTTGTTATTAGCATAATGACTGTATAATTATTATTCACTTGTTTTTTATTAGCCTTACTGCTGCTATTACTACTTCTTTTGTTTACTTTAGCAAAAATAATCATTTAATTTTTTATTGTTTTTTACTTTCAGAGCTGAAAGAAATATGGACATTTCTTTTGTTGATCATGAAGAGAGGTTCTGTCGTTGAGGCACTGTAAAATTGGAGCCCGTGAATGCTCTTCTGTTTGCCCTTTTGTGATTCTACCTAGGCAGACACAAGCAGCTTCCTTTTTTCCTTTCCACATGTTCATTCCCCCCATCCATAATCATACTACTCACAGTTATCGTGCACAAAATATTATGTCTGTAATAGATCCCGTTATGCAATGAAATGTAACTTATTTTTGGTTTATTATAGAGATGAACAGGATCACAAAGGCTTGTCTAACTAATATTTTGGGACTTGAGGACACATTGAAATTCTGCAGCTCTTACTTTATTCTGTTAGCACTGTAAAAGGATAAGTCTGAACTAACACTCGTTAATTTCTGGAGAATAATAAGACGAGTCTTTGCGACACATTATGGCAAGTAGCAGCAGACTGCTTACGTCCAGTTACATAAACATACAGAACAGGCAGAGCCACCACACGAAGACATGATTCAACCTCCTGATTGAGACAATTAGCTTATGTGAAATACTTTTGTCTCTAATGCATGGCTGCACGATATGGAAAATAAGATATTCCTACATAATTGCAATTGTGATGGTTATAAGAACTTGCAAAACACAAGTTAGAGAATTGATAATGTGACATGGTTAAAAGATTGGCCTGTATTATATTGACCAAAATATTTGTTGGATGATTTGAATGCCTTGATTCATCCAAACACCCACACAGACTGAGATATGTGAGAATTTGTCAGATTGCTCATAGTGCACAATATTACACATTAGATGCATGTTCAAGGTCTTGTGTTGTAAGCTTTGGCGGTATCTCTTCTGCAAAGGCCAATACTGCTATAACATTAAAGAATGATGATATATGTTGTAAAACCATACTCTATTGTCCTGTCCTTCTTTTTTTCTTATGTGTCAACCTTCGGTAGTTCCTGTTGCATTCCCATCTTTATCTTCATGTCAGTGGTCTTTGTATGTATGCTTGTATACTTTGATTTATACTTTGTGACAAATTCATACTCAAACGTTCACCTTGATTGTCCTCAACAAGCCTTTCAAAATATGTCTGACAGGATACATAAGAATTCACAGACAGCTGTCAAGTGAAAAAGAAAAAAAAAAATAAGTAAACCTTTATTCCTTTCTGTTAGCCTCCTCCATGGTAAATATCATGGCGAGTTCTGTACAAAAAGCACTGAATGGGTGTCTTTAATATGCCTTATGTCTTTCACTGAAACAGCAGACTGCATTTGTTACAACAAGCCAAATAAAGACAAGTACCTTGATATTTTGTGTTTCAATGATGTTAACACTGTATGAACTATAAGGATTCCAAATTTACATCCATACATGTGTATGTGTGATTTATAGGCTCCATATTTAATATGCCATTACTTTTGTACACACACTCACACACTTTCCAGGCCTAATCATAGATTTTCACTCCTGTCGGTTAATCTTGTTTTTCACTGGTTTTCTAGGGACATGAAAATATAAAAACAAGCACGCACACAAACAGATGTGGACATTTTAAATGTTTAATTGCAAAACCTGACATTTTTGTTTTTGTATTTAGATACAGAACTGCAAAAGTTGAGTTTAAAAAACTGCTGTGCTAAAAGGAATAAGCACTAATTAGGTGGGAGCACACATGCAGCAAAGAGAACTTGGGCTGAACTATGCATTTTTAACAAAAATGCAGTTGGCAAAGTTTATGCATGAGGTTTAAAAAAAGGTGTGCATGAGGGAAAGAGAAGACGCATTAGAGAGACAAAAGACTGAAGAAGAGAGATTGTAGGCGTATGTTATGTGCGAGCACTTCGCTCCGTTTCAGCTAGACACTCCCTCACTAAAGCACGGGCATGGATGATTCCTGAAGGAAAAAGAATAAAAAAAAAAAGAAAAGGTATAGCGTTTAGAGTGTGTTAGAGTGCAGAAATTGAAAGCTTCTCACCCTGACTACACATCCCAACTAACTTTGATTAAACGTTTTCACATAAACAGTGGGCACCATAGTCCGTATACACAAGCAAGACTTTATATTAATAAAACAATAATACCACAGAAACTCTATTAAAATTTTAGAGTTTCCATGTTTCTGAATGTTAAACCGATCTTAAACTGTGTAATATCTTTTTATTTTAAAGTCTGCTACTGAAATGTTAAAGTTCACCTGAATGGGAAGTTAGCGCATTTCCCTTCCGTACCTTGACATATTTCCAAATGAAAGATAAGGGAGAGTCTCAAGTTGAGCTGAGCATTTTCTCTTGATGATAGGAAGGGGTAGTGGGAGGGGAAGTGAATCATATTATTGGTTAATGTTATTTTTCCTGCCTGCTGGTGTACAGTGACAATCAAAAATCAAGACATTTTAGAAGCTTAAAAGAAGAATTCTGACTCAAATACTATATATGAATGATAAAATGTAGTTAATATGACTATTCTGATTCCAGGTTAATCATAAGCATGGGTTTGTGCAAATATAACTGTTAACATTAGATTTCATATAAATTAGGTTTACTTTAAATTATTAAAGTTTGTAAACCAGAGGCCTCAGGATTTGCATAATGGCAAGGACAAAATTAAATGACAGAGCACTGAGGACCACACAAGGTACAAAATGCTCAAAAGCTGTTCTGTTTGGGGCTTTAATACGATATATAAGACTGGCAACTGACTGAGATTGTACCAATACTATACAATAATACCGACATTATACAATAACTGAGATTACAGTTGTTAATATGATGTGTAATACATAATATCTTTTTTTTTATATAAAATTTTGTAAAAAACAAAAAAGATAAGATTTTATCTGTTTATTTTAAAACCGTATTCATCAACTTGCTATCTTGTTTTCCTTTAGTTTTCATCATTTTAGAAACAGATTACATTAAAAAATCGTAACGATAAGTAATGTAGCTATTTAAGGTAATAAACTATTTCTCTTACCGTTTTAAAATTTGTGACTTTGGGCTATACACCGATCAGCCATAACATTAATCACACCTGCTTGTTTCTACAATTATTGTCCATTTTATCAGTTCCACTTACCATAGAGGTGCACCTGCAGTTCTACAATTTGGTAGACTACACTCAGTCCAGCAGTGACACTGAGGTGCTTAAAAATTCCAGCAGCACTGCTTTGTCTGATCCACTCACACCAGCACAACATACACTAACACACCACCACCATGTCAGTGTCACTGCAGTGCTGCGACTGATAATAATACCTGCCTCCCAAATAATACTTGATCTAAGGTGGTCCTCTGGGGGCCCTGACCACCCTGAACTGGTTAAAAGGGGGCTAACAAGGTTTGCAGAAAAACAGATGGACTACACTCTGTAATTGTAGAACTACGAAGTGCACCTATATGGAGCAGATAAAAAATAACCAATAAATGTAGAAACAAGGAGGTGGTTTTAATGTTATGGCTGATCTGTGTGTGTATACACAGATACACACACACACACACACACACACACAGACTTTTGTCAAGTGAATTTATTGTATGTGTAGCCATCATTGGATGGCTGCTGTACCTCTCTTGAGTCTCTCCATGGCACTTTTACTGCCAGCATAAGTGGGGCGGATTTCACGACTCATCTCCTCAATGACAGACAGCAGTTCACTATAGGTGGAGCCTTGAGACACCTTCACCGGCTGTAAACAAAAGGATTAAGTTAGCATCTTCCACAACCTCATCCCAACATTAGCCTCATGGTCGAAGCTCTCCTAAGGATCAGTGAAACTATACATTTGGTGGAAACCCTGACTGAAATTTCCACGCTTTTTACATCCTAAAACGGTCACATGAAAACAATGCAAACTGACTGAGTTAAGTTACATGAGTAAAGAATGGAAGACTCACTCCAGGCACCTGGCCCTTTAAGGGGTTAAAAAGCGAAGCTGGTATGAGTGATTAATTGAAAAAGAAAATGTTAGTAGTTTGTCTGAAGAATAAACAGATCAACGTGTCTACACTGTATAACAGTTATCTGTTTCACAGATTTAAATACAGTGACATATCCATATTCAAACTGATTTCAAATTCTCTATACACACCAGGCATGGATATTGCCCAGTCTTAACAACAACAACAACAACAACAACAACAACAACAACAGGTAAGCAAAAGTAAGTAGATAGGGGTGTAAAAATGCATTAATATGAAGGTGGCAATTCAACTGCATCATTTTTGGAATTTTATAACCAATTATAATAAGCAGTAATTACATACTACTACTACTACTATTGCTACTACTACTATTGCTACTACTAATAACAATAATAATAATAATAATAACAATAATAATAATAATAACAACAACAACAACAACAACAAATAGGTGAATTTCAAACTGAAATAAAACAGCTTCCCATATTTTCCTTATTGTTTGTATTCCCATACTACATTTTGTATGCAGCCTTCTTATAAATGCTGAACAGTACCAAAATAATCAAACCCAATCATGAAAATGAGATTATGATGCACAAAATTGTATATATAATATACGCTACATAATTAATTGGTAATTGTAATAAATAAATAGTAACTTTACAGAAGAAATAAAAGTTCATAAAACAAGATTTGAGTACTTTTATTGCTCCATTTACTGTGACATAAAAACACATTGTAAAGGGCAACTATTATTTTCAAATTCTGTACAAAAAAACAAATACAACGTTTTGTTCCGACAAAGACGATATATTGTCTCACAGAAGTTTTTCAGAGTGAGTTCTGCCACCTTTCATAAGAAAAGTAAAGACAACAGAGACAGGCACAAAACTGACATGATCAAAAAAAAGTAGTGGGCCAAACGACACCACATGCAAATGGGCAGAAAACAAAAAAAAGCCTGATTTCCACATATAAATGTGAGCTATTTTACCTGTACAAAGCCCATCGATGGTGGGCCAAAGTCACTGAATGCTGGTCTGAAGTTGGAAGAGGAGGGCAGAGATGGAGAAGATCCGCAAGATCCTGAGACAAAAAGAGAAGAGGTTATAAGCAGTACAACACAGGAAAGCTTTTACAAAAAAAGCGACCTTTAAGAAATTTCACTGACCACATACTACCGGTAAACAGAGGTTAGCAGCAGAAGTGTCATGCAAAGGAAATTCCTGCCAGTGTAAACCAAGTGGCTGGAAGCCTTGGCACAGTACCTGCTATCTGAGCGTTTAGTGTCAGAATGAGAACAGCACTGTACACACAAACACACTCACGCAATATGGCACCATGAAAACATTTATCTCACGAGACAGATGGCCTCAGTCTGACATGTTTAAACCCAGGTTTCCTGAACTTTCACAAAAATACAATCACATTTTATGCTTTTATTTAGATCAGAAGCAAGTCTCAGTAATGATTAAGAAAAGGTAATTTTCCATGTGTGACCAGTCAACAAGCTATAATAGTGTACCAAACCAGATACAATCATCCAGTTTAACCACGCTCAAACAAAGACATGGCTGCTATTAAAAAAAAAAAAGGTCCACTTTTATCTTGTTGCTTCATGCACCAAAAACAGTCATGATTCATCTTTCCTGACCATTTTCCAACCACTCTTAAGCCCTTAGAATTAATCGGAGTGGCAAAAAATAGCCTGTCTTTAAGAATTGTACATGCAAATGACCTCTGTTTTAACTCATTTAAAAGCTGCCTGGTCTGAAAAATCCTTGCAGACCTCTGAAGTCGTATGTCACCCCGTAGTAGTTATACATTAGTAACTCCAGGTCTAGGCAGATTTTTGTTCTGTGTACATTCCTCCACTCCCCAAGTGTCACTGGTTCCTATAAATTATGAGGTATTTCGGTGAGGTTGTCAGTCCACACCGTCAGTTACATTTTTCTTTTTCTTACAGAGAAAGCCACCTTAGACTCAGTTTTTAATATGGACATGATGCTGATTACAAAATGAGGGGCTACACTGCTGCATGCTGAATAGGCAGATATGTAAATGCCATGGTTTTAGTGACAAAAAAAAAAAAAGAAACTAATCAACTTTAAAAAAAATTCTCCGGACTGAAAAGCGAACAGTACGGGTTTTGAAAGTTTGCATATTTAAAGTTTACATATTACATTAAGCTCTCATTTAACAAAAGCAAACCTGCTGGGATAGGCTCCAGCAACCCAGAAGGATAAGCAGTTTAGAAGATGTGTGTGTGTGTGTGTGTGTGTGGTGTGTGTGTGTGATAACAAAAGCAAAGACAATTGTTTTTCCATTAAATGGGCCCTTGTGGTTGGAAAGCACATTTACCTTGTGGCCAGTCAAAATTCTGCAGCATAGTGTCATTCATTCATTTATACATACATACATACACACACACACACACACACACAAACAATTGTACAGTCATATTAATTCCTCTCGCTCTCTCTCTCAATAGCTACTATTAAAAGTCATTAAAATCCAAAAGACAAAGTTTTATTGGAGCTATACCTGGCGGTGTATGGTTAGATCCAGTAGGGGCAGGAGCTATTGGCTTATAACTCATGCTGATGTCGGTTTGTTCCTCCGTTTTTGTCGCAAGGCCTGTCTGTTATCTCAGTGTTACTGTCGATGGAGCAGCACGTCAATACACTGCTAATAAGCAGCTCAAGCTGACCTCGGTCGGATTAGCAGTGGTAACGTTGCTGCTGTTTACCGGCCGGCATCTAACTTCAACTCAAGAAAAAACTTCCGCCGCAACTCCTCGGTCTTTAATCCGGACTACCTTTTCAGTAATATACAGAGCAGAAGCCTTTCTGATTCTTTCGCGTTGTTTAAAAGTAAAGATTAAAAATAAAAAGAGTGGCAGCTCAGTCTCATTTACTATGTTGCTAACCGGAGACAAAAAAGCTAGCACGGCGACCAGGACTAATTGTACTTCTACGATTTAAAAAGTGAGTATTTTGGACGATTCTGGCGACGGAGAGACTGTTCGCTATCAAAGAGTCCGATTCCAGACGTTTAAAACGAACAATATATAGCATAAACGAGAAAATTTGGAAGTATTTCAAACGCCGAAGATGCCAGAGCTGCTGTTGTGCCCCCAACAGGGAAAAAAAAATGCGTCGTTACGCTGGCTCCTACGTTCTACGTCAACACGCAGAACCGTATGCGACCACTGTAGTCATGTCATCATTTTGTAGTCGGCGCCATGTTCTTATGCCCATATTAGGAACTTCGGGTCTAAGCTCGATTTCTCTTTGGCCAGAATGAATAGGGTTTTCACAAAATCACCTCTGTCGCACCCTGTGGTAAATAAAAATGTTCAGAACCCCATACATTTCGCCATATGAACATCCTTCTCTCGAATAGCACTGGATCCTCTGAATTAAAGGTCGTTAGGGGAATTCCACAATTTTTTTTTCCAACATCTGAGTATTTCAGTCCTTGAGACTCATTCAGAGTGGTTTGATGTGAAATGGTTCATTGTAGAGAAATTTACTGACTCAGATTTCTTCACAGTGGTGGTGATAGGAACCAGGGCTCGGCATGTCTACAACAGAAATATGGCTGTTTACTATCCAAAACCACCAATAAACCTACACGAGTCTTCTGAGTTTGTATATGTAAAGGTCAGGGATGAGGGAGTAGCTAAGTAGCGCGCTACTTTTTGTAGTTAACTACATTTTTTGTAGCTAAGAGCTGTAGCTGCTACAATTTTATGAAATGTAGCTAATAGCTGTAGCACCTACAAATTTTTTGTGTAGCTATAGCGATAATTTTTGCTACAATTTCGCTACAGGTTTCAGGCAATCCGCGCAAAATCTGAACCACAGAACACGGTCGTTGATTGGGCTGGTGGCGACTGTGCAATGCTGACTGAGCCGCGGACAGTTTGAGCAAACGGGCACATGCTGGCCCCACGCACTGATCACCCCTTACTAGTAGGCTTAGCTCAGGGGTTGGCAACTGAAACGTTAAGAAGAGCCATTTTGTCCTTTCAACAAAAATGAAACCACCTTGGGAGGCACAACATTTTATGTCTGTTTTACTATCTTGGATGCAAGTATGTCTTAGTGTGTGCTGATGTGCTGGTACAGGCTAAAAATTAAATAAACGAAAACTCAGACTTACTTTGCTCTGCTTTAACCTTTAGCTCAGCTGTAGCAGCTTTTTTCACGTCTCAGGAAACTTTTCTGCGAGTTTCTTGTAAAATGTCTCTCAATGTTTGACTTTTTATGAGGCTGAAGTCGCTTCTCATTCTCCTGCTTCTCGTTCGAATTGTCCCCTTCCACCTTAAATGGTGCCTGAGGCACCAGATTGTACTGCTGCGGCATTTAAGGTGGAATGGGAGATTTCGAATGAGAAGCCGGAGAATGAGAAGCTGACTTCGGCTTCGCGAATTGTTGTAGATTAAATCTATGAGAAAACCAGCTGAGTGCGTATAAATGCAAATAAGTCCATTCATCTCCAAATTATCGATGTTCATCTTAAATCTCTCTCTTTGCCTTTTCGTTATCTGCACTGCCGCATGACCAGCAGTCTGTACATCAGTCTTCAGCGTTAAGGGTTGACTCCAGTGTTTAAGACCATTTATTGTGAAAACTGTGTTAGAACTGTTTGTTATAACGATTTTACAGCAAAGGAGGATTATGTTATTTTACCTAAAAATCTAGTTCTGCTGTGGAGCTGCAACAGCTCTGCAGCAGTGGAAAGATTATACAGGCCTGATTCTCACCCCAAACAGAACCAGGGTCACTGATGAGAATTTTGAGGCTTAAGTGTTGCTGAAGTTCAACAAAGGCCTCTGAATGTCATGTCTGTATATCCTGCTGAAATGTTTAAATTGGAGCAGTTTTAAAGTTTTCAACAGTTGACAATGCTTTGCACAAAGTTGTTTGGTTTGTATCTGGTTATTTTTGTTGATTTTTGTAAGGAAGAACCCGGAATGTTTGACGTTGCCTTTAGTCTTAATTTTTGTTGGATATCACGCCTTTGGTTGTGTAAGTTTCATTGTTGGTTACACTTAAACTTACTTTTTGGTGATCTTTTTGTATATTTGCAGCTTTTCAATTGCATGTTTCTTTCTGGCATATGACAAAATGCAGTGTTTTATTCACACTTTCACTTGGGCTTGTTTGGTGTGTCAGGTGGAGATTCACAAACATTCTGACAATCGTGCTTTGAAAGTAGCTAAAAAGTATTGCACTACTTTTCAAAAAGTAGCTAAAAAAGTAGCCACTACTTTTTTTGGAAAAGTAGCTAAATTGTAGCTAGCTGCAACTTTTGGGAAAGTAGCTACAAGGTAGCTAACTGCTAATTTTTCAGTAGCTATCCCAACCCTGGTAATGGTGAAAATGCTAAAGTAGTAATAAGTCTGAAAAAAAAATCCTGAAAAAAGTTTTCTTTAGGGACGCCCTTACAACGCCCTGCATGTATCCCACTGCCATGAATGGATTAAAATAAATTGATTAAAATACATTTTGAGCCAAAACTTAATCATAAAACTATCATAAAACAATGTCTCAAACAGCATATTTATACACCACTTTATGTAATAACTTTTGCGTGTGAGCGTTCATAGATTTTAAATGCCTCAGATGTCTGGTTACTACCTATTACCACCACTGTGAAAAATTCTGAACTAAACTAGGTGTTATGGGTTTCAAATGGACCAGTATAGGTTCGCTCAGGTAGCGGCACTTTACATAAAATATAAAAAAAAAAGGAGACAAGACCAGTGCAGATAAAATCATACGAGTTTGTATTAAGGAATGAATTTGTGATTTCTTAGCTTCGACAGAATTAATAAACTTGACCAAGTACAGCAATGAAATCAAATAATAAAATAAAAAACAATACAGTGAGGACCTTTTAAGTGTTCACAAAAGCTTCAATTACCCTCTAATTCAAAAAATCAACAGGCATCTTTTTTTTTCAGATATTCACCTTGTGCTAATCAGTATAATATATTTAATTTTATTGACGCAGTCCTTGGACAATCAGTAGTGTACCTATTTTTTTCAGTTCGTCAGTCTAATTAGTGCACTTTATTAAAGTTTCAGTAATTAATTAGTTTTTATATCTGTACTTTCAGTTAGGGTTTAGGATTTAAGTCAGCTAAGGTAAGTATTAATCTCTGTTTATGGTTTAGGTGTTAGTTTAGCTTTAAATTCTAGTGTATAAAGTGTTACTTTATGGTTTTAGTTCCACTTATTTTGGTTTTCTCAGTGCTCAAACCTTAAATAATGAACCCTTGTTCTTTTAAAACAAAACTATTAAAACATGAATTAAACAACAAAACAAACAAATATTAATCAACCAGACAATAACCAAGATACAAATTCAACCTTTTTCTCAACTGTCCATAGAAATGTTAGAACTATAAGTGGTTCAAAAATGAAATAAAATATGTGTCTCCCTTTTGTTGTTTTATTTTTCAAGCTCAGTTCACTGGGGAAATTGCAATGTTCAGTCCTACCACACTGTTGAGTGTGGTCGCCAAGAGAAAAGTCCGTCTATAGTGCTCGAAGTCGAAAGTCTGGTGAGTTGTCCTCTAGACGTGGGCTTGGCTCGCCATCTAGTGTCCAAACGGGTGCACACGCCACGTGCAACCGAATGCAGGGAAGAGTTGAAACAAACCAACAAAAAACTGACCAAATCCAACCGGTATAAATCGAAATCGTCGTTTCAGACGTAACTCAGCTCAAAGTTCCCCTCGGCAGTCATTTTAATGACGAAGAGTATTCCGGTCAACAGCTCAGAGTAAGTAGAAGCACCTCAATAGTTATATTTAATTAACTTTCTAGTAGCTTCCAGTCTCAAATGTCTAGTGGTTCTAGGTATCAAAAATTCTTCAGAATACCTATTTGATTAGTATATTTTCCAAGTTTTTCTTTGTTATTTTACTTCAGCGTTCTCTCTTCTTCTAACTCTGCGTTTTCTTCACAGGATGTCTCTTGGGGATAGGTAGAGGTAACACCCACTTAGCGCTGATTGGCCATCTCTCGTTCAGACCATGACTTGTCAAAGAACTATTGGCTGTTGATTAATGCTCAGTTTATTTTCTTTACTCATCTATTTTGACTTTTCTAAACTGTTATTTCTGTGTTATATTGTTTCTTAAATAAATCATTAAATTTATTATTATTCCACTGTGTGTCTGGATTTAATTTCTGGCCATTTGAAACCTGGGTTACAGGAGCATTTCACACCAAACCACTCTGAATGATTTTATTAATGTCTCAATCATTTAATTATGTAGACTTTTTGAAAAAGCAGTGGCATTCACCTTTAAAGTGGGGAAAACAAAAAAAATGTGCATAGCATGGCGTCCCAAGGAATGACTTTAAAAAACCTGGACTGCAGCATCCAAAGTTGATGCATATACAGGTACTGACCCAGTAGTGTTCAACTGATTCTCTATAAACACGGAGCTACATAACCCATCCCATGAGTATATTAAACCCAGTGTACAAAACTACACATAGAAATACACATAGATTTTTGCTGCAAAGATTAACAAAAACAGCCATTAGCAGTTTGGTTTATATTGTACATTCTCTGTAGCTGGACTAAGTATATTTTTCTATAGTAGGCTGGCTGTTAGCTAGATGACACAGCTAGATGGGCTAATAGCAAGATCACATTAGCTAGATGGGCTAATAACCTAGCTAACATGAAGAGTTTTCCCAAGCTTGGCTGTTGTGCGGCGATCTCGGCTAAGAGTTTTGGCACACTGAAATCGGGACGGGTAAGGCTTGGCAACTGATGTTTCATCAAAAAATATAAGGGCAGATTTCACCAGTACACGCTTCACCACAGAAGCGGGAAATACACGCTTAGACCAGCTTCTGGGGACTTCAGAAGGCTTCAAAACGCATCTGGTAGGTAAATGCTTGGTTTAGTTGATGTACCAACAGTTTTTTAGTCAGACATCTACTCAAACCTAATCCTATGATTTGTTCGTATTGAACTCTTCACATGTTACAATAAAAATGAGCATTACTTGCTAACAGTCAACTAAGAGTAACTCGCCATTATCTGCTGTGGTTGACTAGCGAGACACCCTTTGTAGATGAATGTTTGCTCTTACAAAATAATAAGAGAAAATGTTTTTTGGAACCATGTCGAATTTATATTCCAT